ATATATATATATATATATATATATATATATATATATATGTATATATATATATGTATATATATATGTATATATATATATATATATATATGTATATATATATATACGTATATATATGTGTATATATATATATATATATATATATATATATATATATATATATATATATATATATATATATATATATATATATATATACGTATATATATATATATATATATATATATATATATATATATATATATATATATATATATATATATATATATATATATATATATATATATATATATATATGGAAATAATGGAAGCTTTAAATAAAAAAGAAAAAGCCAACTCTTAACAATATTAACTACGAACAAAGCCACAATGTGCTAAGCGTATTCGGAAATTAAAAACATTGCTACCACACACTAAAACATACACAGAACGCACACACTCAATTAAGCTGAAAATTGAATCATCTTTGATAATGGCTAAAGGTATAGCCGAAAGCGCTCGGAAATATAAAACATTTGGACAGTTCTTACACACCCTTTGTCCAGAAAAGAAAGCTCTTGTTCGAACACAAGAAAAATTAAATAAAAAAGCTTAACCGTAGTACCTTGTCTGTTGTTTTTAAATAAACATGCATAAAGGAAGGATTGCTGCCTAAATATACAGCTATATATATATATATATATATATATATATATATATATATATATATATATATATATATATATAGTGGGATGGAAATTACTCAGTCCAACCCACTTTCAAAAAGCTAACCAAATGACTAATTATCAGAATTTATTAACTTAGCTGGGCGAAAATCTTTTCAGTACACCCCCTCATAATTTTGCATATACAGACGCATATAATCAATGGATATATTTGTCTGTACTTACTGGGGCACCTCGAGGCGGTGTAATTGTTAGCAAATTTGTGTCGCTAGAACAATTACGCCTGAGTAGTGAGTTCGGTCCTCACTGGGTACCCTATACTTTCGGCCTTGTGCCTCATCTAAGCTATGCTTGGAAAATCACTATTTGTCTGTGCTTACATGTTCATTCAATACGAAACAGCAGCCTACGACCGTATCACGTTGAAACATCAGTTCTCGTACGATCACCAAACAATGATGGATAACCGCTTACGAATACCAGGTGCTATAAGCTCGGATGTGTGAGTGGTGTAATGGAAAACGGAGAGCCGAGTTCTGATTCTAGTCGTGTTTGTTTTATTCACTTACGTGCAAATAATCTTGGGAAAGATAAGCATCGAGCTCTTCTCACCAAACCCAGCTATGGGTTAATTAGGAGAACTTGCACCAGTAAATTATTTTTATCTCCCCAAAATTAAGAATATTCTCTGGCTTTAAATAACTTGCAAAAGGCTAATAAATTAACCAATCAATAAAAAAAAAAGTAAATAGAATAAGCTATCAATATATATATATATATATATATATATATATATATATATATATATAAAATATATATATAACATAAATATATATATATAACATAAATATGTATAAACATATATATAGCATATATATATATATATATATATATATATATATATATATATATATATATATATATATATATAGGTAATATATACACTTGTCTCGAAAAATCTTTTCGGTTTCTTGATTTGCTAATGGTCAAATCAATCTCGAAGGAAAAAAGGTTTTAAAAAGAAAGAGCTATGAACATGAACGTCTGTCAAAATAATCATACAGCATACAGGTCCAAAGCCCAAAAAAAAAAAAACCGATACGAGTAATCAACTAACTAAAAAGTGCTCAATACAAAAGTAGAGCAGAAACTAGTCAAACCAGCTTTCCCTGACGATCCGCTTAGGTTTGGTTTGTCTGAATCTCTAGATTTTATATATATATATATATATATATATATATATATATATATATATATATATATATAAACGTTTGAAGTAATGAAAATGTCGGCTTCAAATAAATCCATTTTATTTATATATATATATATATATATATATATATATATATATATATAATAGGATTAATACAAGTAAAATTTGTCACATCTAATTGATATTATATTCATCACTTTGGAGACAAAACTTTTTTTGATCGTTCATTCCACTCTTCGGGTGGTATCAGCAATTACATATATATATATATATATATATATATATATATGTATGTATGTATGTATGTATGTATATATATCATAAATATATTAGATTGTGCAGTATATATTTTATATTATAATGAGGTAATCATACAAAGAATTAATTAGTAATATTACTGTAATTAATGGCAAAATCTCTTCGCTTACAGACTTAATAAGGCATTAACTTAGTAACAATTCATTGAATGACGCGTTCCTTGTGTATAAAATTGTTGTCAGATGGATCTGGTGTTGTAGAGCGAGTACTTTCGAAAAATTCACATTTTCATCCTCAGGCCGTAATTTTTCCATTTACAAATAAACTTCAAGACGAAATAAATGTACTGCAGACCAAAATATGTTTTTTTTAAGAATGTGTTATTTATTGACGGTTACATAATTTTGGAACGTGCAATGTCGCAAAGCTAGAGTTCAATTTTAAATATTTCAAGTGAGAATTTTTTGTTTGAATTTAGTAATGTGGTAAATCCATGAATTTTTTTCTTGTATATCTTTTCCAGTTAAAGTGACAGTAAAAACCATAGAAACATGCTTACACACACACACACACACACACACACAAAGATAAACAATCAACCTAACACCAATAAAAATGTGCATATTTTTAACTTAATATAAAAATAACGGAAACAAAAAAATTGGCTGACATTTGCTGATATCTACTGACGAGTGGACCGAACAATTACACGAAGATTCCTCTACGAAATTATGGAGTAGAGGGGCTGTATATAGCATCAATCAGCTAAGTGACAAATTTTATATTTGTATTAATCATATGAATTGGATAGTAATTACGATTCCAATGTAATAAATTATAACCCTGGAATATTAGTGTTTAAGCCTTTTTTATTATTATTATATATATATATATATATATATATATATATATATATATATATATATATATATATATATATATATTAATTTAGATATTACACCAAAAGATGTCCAAAAACGCTACACAATTGCAGTCATGTTGCGATGCGAATCAACGCATCTCATCAGGCTTTAATAAATAACTGTTAAGCCATCGAGATATATATATATATATGAGTGTACTTCGTGGTCTCAGGGGAACTGAAACACAATTGTTATCAGCAAGGATTTCGTGTGGATTATATTTCAAGTAATTATCTTATTATAAACAAATCAATCTAATTTTGCACTTGTCTTTTTATTTCTGCTTTTTGAACAAGTTTAGTCTTTCGTACTTATCTTTTGATGTGTCCATAAACACACATGAGGCTTTAATATTCCATTTCTCTTTTCGAAACCAGTCGTCCAGTGCAGATTTATATGAGACCCTTTTTGTTAAAAAAGTATTATTTTGATGGGTTTTTTTTTTTGTAAAATTTCTTCTTTTTACAATCTGTGTTCAGCTTAATCGCGAACTTTTGAATATTTAACGATCAGCTGTCCGTTTCAAAAGCAGCAGATTCCTGCTATATAATCTTTCAGAATGTGCGGACTTTGTCCAAGTAATGTTTACGCCAAGATGATCATGTTTTAAATGCCGAATCTCATAGCAGTCAAACTATTCTCAATCTTTACAATAATCAATATTGCACAAGATTGACTTTTGGCTTAGCACTGATTTTAGCTTAGATGCGATCAAACAATCATTTGTGTTGACGCACAATGTATCGTGCGTGTGCATAGATTTACATAAAGTTAGTTTAGAACCAGAACTGTATCAAAGAAGATTGTGCAGCGCCAGGCTTGAAACTGATGTTAGACTGCCTGCTTACATTGAAAATCAGTATTCGAAATCATAGTTTTGTTTTTGGCCGTAACATTGGCTACTTATGCTGCTTCATTCGCAACCAAGCGAATAAATATTTCTTCTAAGCTGAATTTGACAGAGACTGTGGGAGAAGGTAGAAAGATTGTATTGCAACATTTTATTTTTTTTTTTTTTTTTACTATAGGTATTCCTCTTCAAAATTCTGCTTCCTTGCTAGGGATGAAACACGGACTGCTGTTGATATTTTATAGATTTAGCTTAAAACGACACGAAGCCAAATTCAGGTGTGTGAGGAATGGTGCAAAGAATAAGATTTGGAAAACTGAGCCGTGACTCTTTCGAGATTCTGTCTACTTTAAAAACTAGTATTCGAGAACTGAGATTCCTACTTTGGTTCCAGCTGGGTTACCAGACTGGAAGACAAATAGTGAACTGGACTATAGTCCAAAGTTCAGCGTCGTTAAAATCTTAATAAGCGCTTTTCCTATCAACAGACACAAATCAAACCAGTTTATTTAAAATAAAATTACCCCCACCCCTCAAAAAAAAATACCGCAAGTATTGAAAGGCCATGAAGTCCTATAAAATTAAATTAAATTAACGGAGTTATTAAACTGTGAAGTAGAGTTTTTGTCAAAGTAATCTTCCAAACAAATCAGCTTATACAAATTTCATTGATTGGTATGCGAAATTGAACGAAACGTAGAGTTTGTAAATCTCAACAAAAATGTTAGCGATAACTTCGACAACACTAAATACTATGATAATTTCAAAACGCATTAGGGTGTTGCCCCCACCAAAATTCTAGTTTGAAAAATTCACTTTTCCTTAGCAAAAATTTACTTTTGAACAATTCATTGCTAACTTTGGAGATCACAGTCATAAGTAATTTTCTTGTGTGCTTTTGTGATGATGGCAAGTTTGTATTTTCGATTCTCATTTCATTTTGTAAGAGAGAATTTTTTTTATCATAATTACCATTTGTGACTTACTGTTTTGTTAGGGAACTCGACAAGTTTACAGCTTCTTGCATTATTATTATTATTATTATTATTATTATTATTATTCATAGCCATTTCTCTTCTCTTTTCTCTTCGCAGCATACGCCGAAATCGCTGTCTTCCCGAAAGGCGCTCGCTCATTATACATCCGCGAGAAATCTCCGTCGTTCAACTACTTGGCTCTCCGCAATGTCCAGAAAACAATTTACCTGAATGGAAAGTGGCATCTGAGTAATGCGGGGACTCACGTGCTCGGCAATCAGAAGTTCGAGTATAAGCGGGTGCAGGGCCATGGTCGCCAACAGATGGAGACTATAATGGCCGAAGGACCTCTTAAAGAAGACTTCATATTAGAGGTTAGTGTAACATTTCAGTTCTCTCTGTAACCCCTTTATGTGCATCTGTTTATAATATAATGTAATATAATATAATGTAATATAAAAAAAAAGATTCTGACATACAGTTTAAAACGTATTAAATAAATGCGTCACTTGTTACTCAGTTGGAACAGCTGTCACGAAACGAATGTAATACAGGCTTCTGACGCTACACTTTGTGAGCAGTACGTTATGTTGGTAATTATACATCCCGAAATAGTCTACTTTGAAAGAAATTTTGGAAATCAGGAGTTAGGGCAAATCACTTTTTATAGACAAATTTTATCTTTATGTACCTGTGAAAGGCCTTTGTAGGACGTATGCCTTTCCCAGATCTTTCTTTTTGACGTTCATGAGGTGGAATCGGACATTACCCTACCTAAAGCATATATATATATATATATATGTATATATATGGTGTTTCATTAAGACGGATTATATATAAGGGTGTTTCATTAAGACGGGTCAAAGTCAGTAGTAAGTAAATCAGTGTTATCGGTGAAAGTTTATTTATTTCTCTATTGGATCGTGTTATTTAAGTCATGGCAGTTATGTGTGAAAAATAATATCGCCCAAATATCCGCCAAATGTGAAAGAAAAAAAAATATCATTAGACGCTTAAACTTAATTCACATTTAAAATCGGTCTAAGTTATTGAACACCCTTTATATATATATATATATATATATATATATATATATATATATATATATATATATATATGTGTGTGTGTGTGTGTGTGTGTGTGTGTGTTTTTTTAAGACATTTTTATGTTTATACACTTTTTATAGATACAAATATTTAAGTAAGTGCTCTGTTTATAATAAACAGTATTAAACAAAATTTATCGGCCTGAATGTCCGAGAAATTTTCATAGGAAATGAAAAGAATGTATAAAAATAAAATGTCCATTTCAGTGTGTGTGTGTGTGTGTGTGTGTGTGATCAGATGTCCAATGCAAGTAAACTGCAGAGAGGAAAATGTGTTAGATAAGGCTAAAGTGACAACAATTGGAAAACCAATTTGGTGTTTGTTTTTTTCCCCCCATTTTCCTTAAAACTTCCTCATTACTCGCATGTTCATTCCAGTATTCACTGATGTGTAAACACGGTACATGTTCGCGTGTGTGTGTGTGATTTCAGGATTTCAAATATATAGTTAGAACTCTTTAAATATTTAGATACTTAAAAACAACAGCGATAAAAGCAAGAAAACGCTAGGGAACCGAATGAGGAGTCTGCGAGGTTGTGCAACTAGACACCATCGGATGCAAGGAATTTAAAATTAAGTCCTTTTATCTTCAGCGTTTCTTTCAATGAATAATCATAAACAACATTTCATTTTCCCCTACTTCTATACACACGCACGCACACGCACGAAAACACACACACACACACGCACACTCGCGCAGACACACACACACATACATACACACGCAAACACACACACACACACACACACATACACACACACTCATATACCAGGTGTAACAATAAAAATGTCCAAAACGTATAAAAGCAAAGTTATCCATTTATTAGATTAAGCTTTGAACCGTTGTATCTTAGAAATGATTAAAGATATCTTACTGGAATTCTCCGACGATTTTATAACACTATTGGACTCTACTTTGAGCAATAAGAATGTATAATTACTCTCCAAGCTTAACAGAAGTATCGTGATGAAATCGATCATAAGAGAAAATGACATGTTCATCATTAATTAATCATAGCTAAGGATCGGAAGTTCAAATATATATATATATATATATATATATATATATATATATATATATATATATATTATTCCAAGGTCATTTTCCAACTTATTCAAGATGATATTCGCCCTCTCTAATCTTGTAACTTTCTGTCCTGGAGTAACAAAGTGCCTCACACGTTTCACGTACGATTCCATTTTCAAGTCTTTTTTTTCACAGCTCTTTGGACTGTCATAGCTGAAACTCCTCTCTCACGTACCAAACGTCTTATGGATTGAGTTGGATCTTTTCTCATTGATCTCTTTAGCTCTAAGCTGAAATGATGATCCCTCTTCCTGTTGTGGCCTCCTGATCCAGTTTTCCTCTCTACTTTTCCCACATTTTAAAACTTATTCACCGTTCTCTTCATGGTTCTTGAATATACTTTGAAGATGTACTTTGAATCCAGAGTATGAATGTTGGTACCATTACTGAAGGCCAGAATGATCTTTTTCCTCTCACCATTTCTCATTTGAGAAAACAGTCGTTCTGGTACAAAACGATTTTAACCTATTCTCTTTCTAGCTGAATAATTGAAAGCGTTTTTCAATGATTCTTACGACAAATGGTGTCAAGATAGTGTTGTGTATGATACACCTAATTTACATAAGCGGACTACCGACCATATAAATATGGGTTGGTACCGGAAGACGGGGAAGATAGTAGAGATTAAGAAATTGAATCCAGAGACTCTGCCCGACTGCGATTTAGTCAACCCATTATGCAGGAACAGTCTTCCCAAGAATATACCAAACTAACTGTAAATATTGTGTACCTATTCTTTGTTTCAATACATTTTGTTAACGTACATTTTGTGTTGTATTATTCCATGCTTATTTAAGCTTCAACAGATAGTTAAACGTCTTATCTGAAAACCTGGAAAAAAAAAACTCAATTAGTTTAGTGCTATTTTTTTTTTAGATATTAAATGTTTTGTGGGATGGACAATTATGCTGTTACACGCTGTATATATATATATATATATATATATATAGAGAGAGAGAGAGAGAGAGACAGAGACAGAGAGAGACATAGATAGATAGATAGATAGATAGATAGATAGATAGATAGATAGATATACAATGTTTACTTCTATAAAAATATACACTGAAGAAGTCTTTTCGAAAGATGAAACACGACACACAGGATTTTTTTTTTCCATTTTCTCATTCAGTTACGCACCAGTTACGATTTAGGAACACTAATCTGTAAAAATTGTTCCAAAAATATTTACCTATTTTTTACGATTGATTCTTGACAAAATCCAAAGAAGAATCGGCAATGTTATCGGTCCTGACCTGGCATCTTGGCTTCCGTCACTTAATCCACCGCCGTAACGTAGCCTTCCTTTTGCCTTTTCTATAAGTATTTCCACGGGAATTGTTCTGGTGAGTTTTCCTCGTTGGTACCTTCACTTCACAAATTTAAGCGCAGTACTAGATTGGCGACTAGGTCTCAGAATTTCACTGTTGTAATTTCTAGTTGTAACTGTAACGGTTTCTTCTCTCGCACTAATCGCTTAAAGAGCTCTCTTCCCGCTACCTGCTTTCCTGCCAACTACGATCCTCAAAAATTTAAATGCAATGTCAATCGTCATCTTCTATCTCCTTAATTCCTGTTTTTTGTTTTTTGTTTTTTGTTTTTTTTTTTTTGTCCTCTCTGTTTCTTTCACACTCAGTAACCCCCGTTTCCTTACTTGGGGTGAAATGATTAAAAAATGTTCACGTAAACAGTGTCGGGGTGATATCCAACAGAAGTACTAAAGTAGCCATGATTGGGTAGAAACGTTTGTCCACGGTAAGAAAAAGGGAGATAAGTGAACAAAAGATTTTACAAAGTTACCCTAAGATTGCTTTTAGTAAGTTTTATAGAAATTAAATCCAATCGCCTGAAGAAGGTCTGAACGTACAACGGCCGAAACGTCGTTAATATGACCTTAAAGATGAGGACAGCAGTCCGAACAATATAAATAGTTAAAATACCTCCTCTCAGAAATATAAACAGATATATACAATGTAAATAGTTAAAATACTTCATTTCAGAAATATAAACAGATCCTGAAGATGGCCGGAGCATAAAACGGTCGAAACGTCGTGAATGTGACAGTAAAGATGAGGACAACAGTGCGAACAATGTTAATAGTTAGAACACTTCATCTCAGGAATATAGACAGATCCTGAAGATGGCCGGAGCGTACAACGTCCGAAACGTCGTTAATATGACAGTAAAGATGAGGACAACAGTCCGAACAATGTAAATAGTTAAAATACCTCCTCTCAGAAATATAAACAGATATATACAATGTAAATAGTTAAAATACTTCATTTCAGGAATATAGACAGATCCTGAAGATGACCGGAGCACACAACTGTCGAAACGTCTTGAACGTGACAGTAAAGTTGAGGACAACAGTCCGAACAATGTTAATAGTTAGAAGACTTCATTTCAGGAATATAGACAGATCCTGAAGATGGCCGGAGCGTACAACGTCCGAAACGTCGTTAATATGACAGTAAAGATGAGAACAACAGTCCGAACAATATAAATAATTACAATACCTCATCTCAGAAATATAAACAGAAATCAAAACATATATATATTTTTCAACCAATAAAATCCCATCAGACGGTTTGTTTGATAAACAATAATTACAAGGGCAAATACCGCCAAAATACTTGGCGGACGTAGTTGTAGACCTACCACGTGATATTTTTGGACCATTTAGAAAATAATAACTTTCTTCATTACACAAGCACATACGCGAAAAAGATTTTCGCGTGCTAGTGTGAATTTATTTTTTAATCAATGGATCTAAAACCCATACTTACGGAGAAATGTCGTTAACTTTCAATTTGGGTTTGCGACGACTATTTCCGGAGATTTGCAGACGAGCCCAAGTAAAAACTGCTATCCTCGGAGAGGACATTTATCCCATTTTCACCTATCAGTGGATATGGCGCCAGATTCTCTCATTTACATAAAGCTAGCCACAAAATGTAACACCTCAGTGTATACCTCAACGGAAATTAATTCTGCTTTACCAACTGAGAGTAGAATACAAGAGTTGTTTAAAAAAAATTTTCCTTGTGTTTTTTCTTTTTAAGTACCATGTCCTTTCAGGACGTAGGCGATCATGGCTCTCCACCTCCCTCTATCCCTAGCAGCACTCAACAAGTTCCTTCCATCTGCTTCCTCCCCCAGAACACGTTCTGTCATCCACTTGCTTAAGACCGCCAGGTATGTCACGCGTTGTTTTCCCTTGTCTCTCTTTCCCTCTATTCGACCCGTGAGTATTAGATTCTCCAGGCCTTTCTTCCTTATTATGTGTCCCAGAAACTTCAGCTGCCTCTTCCTGATATTAAGTATACGCCTCCTCCTTGTTGGCAACCACTCTAAGATCTCATCGTTGCTCAGATGCTCGGTCCATAATATCCTTAACATCCTTCTGTAGAACCACATCTCTGTCGCCTCGAGTCTTTTCTTCATCTTTGAGGAAATCGTCCAACATTCGCTGCCGTAAATCCTTTAAAACACGCGAAGGAAATTCGCCATTCTGCTTCTAGTTTTCCTTAAGAAAATAAAAAAGGTGCTGCCGGAGGGTTGGAATACCCGAGACAGGACCCCTTCTCCCATCTGAAATGGGGAGAATAGTTTAATCCCCTTCCAGTCAAAAGCGAACTCCTGTGGCAGAAAAAAAGTTAAGTATAAGTCGAAATACCAAGGAGGAGAGCGTAGGTATTTAACCGGATCAGCCCTGCTTTTTTTAACGAATAGCAACAGAAACCTGGGCAGTCCCGAATCCCAACAGTCCCAAGATACATTTCATGTATCGAATATCTACCATATTTGTGTCAAAACGATTTATTTATATTATTATTTTATACAAAGTGTATCAGGGAAAAAAAAAAGAATATACTTGTGCTCCCTAAACAAATCCACTTGAAGACGTTCACGTTTCATACATCGGATTAATAAGATCTCTCTCTCTCTCTCTCTCTCTCTCTCTCTCTCTCTCTCTCTCTCTCTATCTATCTATCTATCTATCTGTCTGTCTATCTATCCCACAGTGTCTTCATATCTATCTATCTATCACTCTCAGACCGTCACATCTATCTATCTATCTATCTATCTATCTCAGACCGTCACATCTATCTATCTATCTATCTATCTATCTATCTATCTATCTATCTCAGACCGTCACATCTATCTATCTATCTATCTATCTATCTATCTATCTATCTATCTATCTATCTATCTCAGACCGTTACATCTATCTATTTATCTATCTCAAACCGTTACATCTATCTATCTATCTATCTATCTATCTATCTATCTATGTTAGTCTGTTCATATCTTTTATTTTTACAGTAAGTTTCCCCTTATACAAGGCCTGGGAGAAACTCGAGGTAGAGGGTTACGTTAGAGCAGAGTTTATAGGAGGGGAAGATAATCGTTGATTTTAGACTTGAACAGGTGAAGAATGTAGTGATCGGGGAAACATCTGATAGATAGATAGATAGATAGATAGATAGATAGATAGATAGATAGATAGATACGAACAGGCTGGGAATGATAGATACCAACTGACTGGGATAGATAGATAGATAGATAGATAGATAGATAGATAGATAGATAGATAGATAGATATGAAAACACTATGGGATAGATAGATAGATAGATAGATAGATAGATAGATAGATAGATAGATAGATAGATATGAAAACACTGTGGGTATCTATCTCATAGTATTTTCATATCTATCTCACTCTCTCACTCATTCACTCACTCACTCACTCACAGAATGGCGGGAAGCTGTTCGGTATGTACTTTGAATATTCGTGTGGATAAATTTTCCAGTTCTTTGGCGAGCAGATCTCCAATCATCGCTGTATAGAATCATGGGAGTTGACGAGAGATGATTGTTTCCTTCGAACATCACCCGGAAGTCACCAACACGCTTAAAGCTAATTTCCCAAATCGGCTTTAGACAAGATTATCTAAATATTAGCCTGCCACCCGCGGCGATAAATACTCAATCAGATTCTCGTATTGTATTCCCCATGCCTTATAATCAATTTTATAATGTAAAGTGCGGCTTTATACGTCACGCAACCACAACTCCAATTACTAGTAATAAGATTTTTGTTGTTGTTCCAGTAACAAGAGTCACTTTAGTAGGGGTGATCCGATTAAATACCTGAGATTTCTCCTCCTTCCTCCTTATACTTAACTTGTTTCTGGCATAGGAGTTCGCCTTTGGCCGGAAGTCAAGTAAAATGTTCTCCCCATTTTAGGTGTGATGACGCATCCGGTTCCGGGGATTCCAACCTTCCGGCAGCACCCTCTTTATTTCACTAAGAGAAGTGGTATCGGTCTAATATCGACGCCAGCGTGACAGTGGTCGCATGAAGTTGGTATTTGTTTTTTTTTCTTCGCCCATATACACACATACCTGTATTGGCTCCACACGTAAAAACGAACTTGTGTCACATCCTGCCTTAGTACTTTGGTACTTTGACTGTATGAATTTAAGCGCATTACTAGATTGGCAGCTAGGTCTCAAAGTTTTACAGTTGAAATAGCTAGCTGTAACAGTAAGTTCTTTTGTAATAGTTTTTTTCCTCGCACTTCATGCCTTTGGAAATCTCTTCCGGTTTCTATCCCCCTACCACCTACGCTCTTCAATGATCTGCATGCAATGCCAACCGCCATCTTCTGTCCTCGTGAAATCTGTTCTTTTATTCATCTTTCTTTTCAATAAAGTATTCTCATTCACTTTTACTGACAATGGCATCATCGCCTTGCTTGCAATGAAGCGATTTATTAAAAAAATATACTACAGTAGGATCCCTGACAACCGGACTAAGAAGGCCTTCCGGATATGAGGAATTGGTTACAAAGTCCGGATATATGGGGTTATATTTAGATTAAAATAAAAGAACTGAAATCAGGTTTAACATTTATTTTCAATGTTTTATAGTAAACAAAATAAACTAATAGTGCGTGAAATATAATGGAATTTATTTTAAGGAAAAAGAAATAAATTATTTAATGTTAATGAAAATTCATTAAATTAAGTATGCCACGTAGGCAAAACAAATAATGTAACGAGGATTTTTTAATCGCTGTTTGCATGATGATTCTTTCTCTTCTAATGTCATTCTCAACTTTTTCCACATTTCGTTTTGCTTTTGTTCTTGAAATTTTTTAAACGGAAGACACGTTATTGCAATCGTCATAGCTGAATGGTGTCTTTCTTTCCATAAAACTAACAACCTTTTCAATAGCTTTTTCAATTTCAGTCCAGGTTTCGTCACAATCATGCATCTTGTCGCTGTCTTGTTGCAGATGTGTCTCATTGTCATCCTTTCCTCTTATTCCCATCATCTTTTGCACCAATATAAACCATTAGGGTGAAATAAGCATAAGCAATTATCCAAAGTAAATTTCCTGAAAAACAGAAAGTTTCAAATCGGTTACATACCACTCAAATAGTTCAAATATACACATCAAACTCATGTCCGGATATGAGGGATTCCGGATGTGAGGGATTCTACTGTATAATTATTTGAAATATTATCTATAGTGCTTTTGTTATTTTCATAATTAAAATACCTTTTTTTTTCAAATGTTTCAGTCTTTCGAAAATATTCGATTATATATATATATATATATATATATATATATATATATATATATATATATATATTAAAGAAAGGCACTTTTTAACACTGCGTGCGTTATTGCAATCGTCATAGCTGAATGCTGGATTGCTTTCCATAAAACTAACAAATTTGTCAATAGCTTTTTTCAATTTCAATCCGGGTTTCATCACAATCATGCATCTCCTCGCTATCTTGTTGCAGATGTGTCTCGTTGTCATCCTTTCCTCTTATTCCCATCATCGTTTGATCCAATATACTCCATTAGGGTGAAATTAGCATAAGCAATTATACAAAGTAAATTTCTTGAAAAAACAGAAATTTCAAATCAGTTCCATCTCACCCAAATAGTTCAGATATACACACATCAAAATCATGTCCGGATATGCGGTATTCCGGATATTAGACACTCCGGATATGCGGGATTCCGGATATGAGACACTCCGGATATGAGGGATTCTACTGCATTTTATTTTCTTCTGTTTCGTATTAGCGTTCTTGTTTCTTGTTGTTGTTGTCATTGTTTTTATTGTTTTTTTATTTATTTTAATGATTTAAAAATCAGTTTTTTTTTTCTTAAGAAGATAGAGCTAATTGTACATATAAAAATCCTAGATTACGCATGCAATAAATATTGATGATGCCAAAATAGACTATGCATACCGTGTCCATCAGAGAAGCCAGATGCATCAGTGGGTTGATTTGATAGTTGGCCTCCTAGCCGCCATGTGCTGATCTGTACATTCACAGGATATTAGTGATTCCCCCCGATATGGAAACACTAGGTCTACCCAGCTGTGGTTAAAATGTGTACACATGGGACAAACCGGATGATAGATAGATATATAATCACCCACTTGAAAGAAAAAGAAAGATTTTTTTTAATTCTCGCGAGAATGTAGAATCCACGTTATGATACCCCCCTCCACCAAAAAAAGCCACACACTCACTCGCCGCCTGTAATTGACAATGTCCAGGGTTGAATAAACAATGATGTTACATATGGGAAGTTTAGTCTCGTGTTTGTATTACTCTGGGCAACGATAGCATTTCAGTGAAATCGAAAAGTTATTTAAAATGGCCGCCAATTTTGACGGTATGGATCGAGTTTGGTTCTTTTTTGGCGGGGGTATGTTTACATTTAAGGAAACATGCAACAGACAGCTAGAATACCTTTGCAAATGTAGGCATATTTGTATGTAGAAGTAGTCTTTTTTTAGTTTTTCAATATAAGAATGTTATCCGGATTGATTTGCAATTTCAGATTTGCTTCAAATGCTTCTATTCAAATTCAAAAAGTAAACACCCAAGTTTCAAGTTTCTAATAGCATAAAGGAAAATCAACAACAAAAAAACTTTTATTGCTTAACCAGTGACAATATAATGAAGCAAACTCCTTAGACCAAACTCAGTATGTACAGTGCAGATGTTAAGATCTTAACCCAGACTATAATAAGCTTACTCGATACTTTCTGCTAGTTAATATCTAAATATTCGACAACGCAAGCCTGAACATTGTACTCACGTCAGTAAAAATATGTACAGTGCAGATGTTAAGATCTTAACCCAGACTATAATAAGCTTACTCAATACTTTCTGCTAGTTAATATCTAAATATCCGACAACGCAAGCCTGAACATTGTACTCACGTTAGTAAAAAAAAAAAAAAAAAAACTGCTGACTCACAGAGGGAAACTGTAAAAGTCCGTACTACATTTGTTTCCCGGCATTCCAAAATGCTATTCAAATGGTTACGCTCTAATTTGAACAGCTCGGGTGAGTTGATTAGTTTACAGATTTTTGGCTGTTACATTTTGTGAGCAGTACACATCGGTTCGTCTGTGTAATGAGTTTGATGCCTTACAGTTGAGCTCTTCTTTTTTGAGACAAAAAAGAAGCCGACGGATTAGTGTTAATTCATCGTTGGAAAACTAATCTTGTAGTCCATTACTGCTGTGTAGTAACATCGATCCACGCTGGGGGAACATACAGGCGAAACTCAAAATAGAAATAACGACTTCTACTTTTGCTTAACGCCATGTACGTAAAGTTATATGATTCAGAGTTTGTCAGAGCGAACAGAATTTCTGCCAATAATGTGCCCAGTAACTACCGAGAGTAATAATCGTATCAAACATATTGATTCTGCGCTCTTCAGGTTTTGGATGAGAATAATTGTATTGTATTCTTTGTAATCAAGAGCGAAGAATCATGAAACTCTAAGTCAACTCCTGATCAGTATTGTAAACTTTATTGAGCACTATGGAGAAAGGGAATTTTGAACGGTTGCTGCTCCTGCTTAACGCATAGCTCTTCGTTAGAATTGAGCACTCTGAATTTATTGGATAAAATACCGGGAATTATATTAGCAAATAATATTCCTTTTCTACTGTGTTACTTGACCACACTTATAAGACATTGTTTCGTATGTCATTTCCATGAATAAATCATTTGTTGTGTTTTGTCATTGTCATTCTTTTATTATCCTCCTATCACATCCAATTGATTTGTTTGACATGGTAGCATATAATTTGGAACACTTTATTTAATATTTTGTAGATTCCATATTGCATATGTTTTTATGTGTATGCGCCACGCATATATATATATATATATATATATATATATATATATATATATATATAAATTAACTGATTTAAAAATATGGTTCCTTTGCTACACAGGAATTACCATGTTTCAAAAACCGAAGCTAAAAACTTCAAATTTTATTATATAATTAAATTAAAATCATTAGTTGTTTCATCTTCAAGCGAATTTTGGAATAACTTATTTTTAAATTTACTGAGTTTTAAAAGCACATGCATTCATAATTCTTTGTTTCCAAGGATACAGAGTAATCCAATCATTTAGACAGGGGCGGTAGCGTGTTCTTTTTTATTAACTATTATTGTATCAATTATGAGTTACGTTCGAAAAAGAGGTTAAGTCTAGGTAGGGTAGGGGTGTATTTTTCAACGAATTCTACATTCGTTCAACGCATGTCGTCTGGTTTTTATCTATGACAAAAAGTTTTTCGGCATTTTTTCCGTTAAATTCGTACTTGTATACATAAAGATTCTTTCTAAAAGGGGATTAGAATACGTTATACTGAACTACAATTTTAAAATATTATTTTTACTTTTAATTACTAATAGACTACATTTCTTTTTAAAACAAATAAATGCAATAGAATTACTTAAAATATTGATGCTCTGTAAATTTACATTGAGCACTATTTTACAAAAATAAAAATATCAATAAGAACACAGGATTATATATCTTACTGTTCTTTCTTTTTTTTTAATATAATATATATATATATATATATATATATATATATATATATATATATATATATGCTCTCGTTCGCCGATTGAGCACCATGGGGAGAGAATTTTTAACAGCTGCTGCTTCTGCGTAACGCATGGATCTTCGCTTTGCCTGCTGGTCTATATACATCACATATATAATACGTTAAAAGATGTCCATTCTCTGTCGTGCATAGATAGCTTAGGGTAGAGTCTCTGATGCCAAATCGATCCAGTTTCGATCCGGCTTGAAGCCATCGGATGTCTAACCACAGTGATGAGCTGTGATACAGCGAAACAATCTGTCTGTGTGTATATATATATATATATATATATATATATATATATATATATATATATATGTCTATATTTCTGAGATGAGGTATTATGTACATTATTTACATAATTCGGACTATTGTCCTCATCTTCGACGCCATATTTATTATAACGTTTCGGCCGTTGTTGTTGGTCTACGGCCTCTAAGAGTAAAGTTTAAAACACGGACAATTTTATTTTGAAACACTGTTATTTGAGAACAGTAAGTTTTTAATTTGAACATGAGCCATTGAAAGTTAGAGAGTTTTGTCCCTTTAATTGTTTTATCAGTAGAAGCCAAGATGGCAGAATCCGAAAACAATTGCAGCCGGAATGATTTTACTTTGCTCGTGGGACCGGCTAGATTCCTAAATGCTATGATATGCTGGGCTACGGCCTCTAGGACAAAAAAAAAGTGTGGCACACTGACATTCGCCATATATATATATATATATATATATATATATATATATATATATATATATATACACGAAACAACTTCATGATCAGTGTGCCTGTTTTGAAACTAATGAGGGTTCTTGTGATTCTTTAGATATATATGTGTGTGTGTGCGTGTGTGTGTATGTGTGCAAGTACATATGAGTGTGCTATTTAATTGATATTTTCCAACTATTGTTACAAAACATATATTTTTACTCAGTTTTTTATTATTATTTAATTTTATTTCTTTTTCGGTGCTCAGCTACTGTCAATGGGTCCAAATCCTGGAGTTGCGTTTTCCTACACAGTGCCAAAATCTGTCAGTACAACGCAGTTCCCGGCTGCCCACTATAAATGGGTGAGATACGTGATGCAGGACTGTAGCAAAGAGTGTGGTGTTCAAAGTAAGGACAGACTATTTTTATTTTATTTTTTCAGATAAATCGATAGATAAATATATAGATAGGTTAAGAAAAATACTTAATTCAATTTTTTTCTTCATTTTTTACAAAAAAGAAATTAAAACAAAAAGAACCTGCCTTATGTCTTTTTTTTTCGTTTCATTACATTCCTAATTTTCGTTTTGCAAACAAAAAGGTGACTGATCAATATCAACAAACATTATTTACATATGCTATTATTTTTTAAAATCATTTCGCCCCAAGTAAGAGGTTATTGAATATGAAAGAAAAATGAGAAAACATTACTAAGGAGAACGGGCAATAAAAGAACAGAATTCACGAAAATAGAAGATGGCTGTTGATGTAGCGTTTAAATTTTTGAAGATCGTAGTTGACAAGAAATCAAGAAATCGGAAGGGAGTTCCTCAGACGGGAAGTGCTAGAAAAGAAACTATTAGAATAGAACTTACGATTACATCTATCTATATCTCAGTGGATAGAGGCGTTGGTTAAATCCAGTGACCAGACCCAAAGAGTTGTGAGTTCAATACCGGGCTACAGCAGTGATGAAACAAAAACTTAGAGTTGAATTAATGGTAAATAACTGAGACATCCGGAAGAGGCATGGTACGTGGAACTAGAACAATCTACCTCGGTGAACGAAATAAAGGGTTCGGTTTGAAATTCCAATCATCTGAAGAAGTCCGGAGCGTACAACGGCCGAAACGTTGTGAATAGGGCAATGAAGATGATGATAACAGTCCGTATTATGTAAATAATGTAAATACATCTAACTAGTTCAACAGTAAAACGGTGAGACCTAATTGCCAGTCTAGTAATACTCTTAAATTCATCCGTCTTGGATATAATCATAAACTACATCCGCCTGCTGGGTAAGACGATAAACTACGTCCGACAGCAAGGCCTCTGATCAGGAGGTCTTGAGGAACTATCCACCTCTTAATTGCTGGTGTTCCCAGGTTCACCCTGACCCGGGATGGTAGCACCTGTCAAAATCCCAGCTATGGGAAAATAGTTAACCCCCTCAAAAGGTGTTAAAACACTATCAAAGTATAAAAATAGGTTTTAATATCAGCAATACATTTTTTGAAAAATTTTTACCAGCAATATATTTTTTAAAAAAAAATATTACCAGTAATAAAAATCTTGTCGGCATTAAATAACCCATTGAAGTTGATATGCTGTAAAACAAACCAAACCAAACCAAATCTTAAATTCATGCAATCGAACTACCAAGAAAAAAGTCGATATTTATCCAGAAAATCTGACATTAGGCAAAAAAAAAGGAGACTGGTCTTTAACTGTTCTACATTTAACTTAGTTAGCCACAATCACTGGTCCAAATTTACTATAATTTTGTTTACGCCAAAATAACACACTTTTATTTACCATTCTTACTACAGTCACCATAATACCTCAAGGTCTCTATTAGGAGAGCTCATTAGAACAACTGCCAAGAAAATATTTACAGAAGAAAGTCACGATATTGACAGCAGGTTCTTTTTCTTTCTTTCTTTTTTATTTTATTTTTTTTTTTTTTTTTTTTGGCTTTTCTCTTTTTCTCTTTTATTTCGTTCTGGTTAAATTCAAGCCGACTGAAAAAAAATTCTGTTAGAATAAACATTCCAAAATACATAATGAGTAAATCGTTCTAGACACTGCCTTCCACGACGGTTTTTTTTTCTATTCTATTCGTTTTGTTTTTTTTTTTTTGTTTGTTTTTTTTGGCTGTTAGTTATTTTTTGTGTGTTTGCTTTTTTTTTTTTTTGTCACTCCCTACTACCGAGGCTTTCTGTTCGACTTTTTTGTTAACCAACAAAATTGTAAAATATATATCTCAAAACTTCTTATGTTCACACGTCGAAACTTGTACTTACGTTTCTTTTTTATAATCTTTACATTTTTCTCTTTTGTTTCTTTTTTTTAGTTCATTTATTTTCGTTTCGTTTCAACTTTTGATTAACCAACGTATCGCATTAGTTTACTTTTGAAGTTCATTTCCACTGGTTAACCAAAAAGTTGGAATGTATTCAAACGAAATGATTATTCAGTGTCAATGTTTTCACTGCAAAGCGACGCTCAGAAATTTTTATTAATCAAAACCAAAGAGGAAAAGAAATATATTACTTGCTGTCTGTAAGTGCGTGCATCACAAAACTAATTTCTTACAGTTTTTTTTTATTTTTGTTTTTTGCTGGTTAGAGTGAAAAAATTCACTGATGCTGTCAGCTTTCTTTTATCCCCAACTCAAGTGGAACACACTCACTCACTCATTTTGGTACCGAATGGTACTTTGAGGCAATGACAAGAGAAAGCCACCCATAACTGTCGATGCGTGGACACCTCGACATGGTGTAATGGTTAGAAAGCTTGTCTTGCTAGATCACTTACGACTAAGTAGTGAGTTCGATACTCACTGCGTGCCCCATACTTTCGGCCTTGCGCCACATCTAAGCCGGGCTTAGGAAATCACTATATCTGCCGCTGCGTTGGAAGCCGTTTACAATATTAGGCTTTGACTCTTAATCTCTCGTTACGCCGTTCTACACTGTGTTTCCTTGGATCTGATTCAATTTCCTTTGCGCTGTGATATCCAGCGGAGTGTTTGAGATAATTCTCAAGACGCGTCCGTACCATCTCCACCGACGTTCTTGAACAACATTGCCTAGTTCCAAGTTTAGGATGAGAAAGGAGGAAGGATGGCCATAGAGCTAGCAGCACAAAGCGCTTATTGGGACTTAAACTCAACCCAGACATCAAGTGGAAATCGTGCATACGACCCATCGCTAAAGATGCTGATAAAATAGTCAGTTCCATATACTGCTCCAGTAAGTACCTGGCTCCTCCTGCTATCCTGTACCTTTACAAGAGTCAGGCCGAAAATCGAGTACTTCTACCATATCTAGGCTGGAGCTGCACAGTCTTCACTTTCTAGTCTCGATAGAATCTAAAAACGTCTTATGGGTGATTAATTCTTTTCTACCCTACAACACCTTACCCAAAGACGAAATATCACTAGCTTCCCACTGCTTTATCGCTATTTCCATGGAAATTGTTAAAACGGACTACATTCCTATGTTCCATCAGTTTTAACCTTTACGGCTAAGAAACGCCATACCACATCCATGGTAGTGAATCACCCTCATTCCCTTTCATCATGTCGAGCAGCTTCTTCCCACGAAACATTACTATACGGAACCGACTCCCAAGAGGATGCTTCCCCGATCACAATAATCTTAACATTTTCAATTTTAGCGATAATCATTATCTTCTTCACATATCCGAATAAACTGTGCCTCTTACTTTGTAATCCTCTACCATGAGTGGCTCATGAGCCTTGTACAATGTAACTACTATTGTACAAAGAAAAAAGAAACAAAAACGAAAGAGAAATAAAATTCTATCGAAACCTCAGGTGGACCACGATACTTTTTTTAAAGGGTGGAATGGTCGTGATGTTCTAGGATTATTAATATTATGATTTTTTTAACGGAACATGCGCGGAGCCTTACGCGTTGCTCGTGTCACTCCTGAACTGACTGCCAGAGTGTATCCATCCAGCGCAAACTCCTAGTATTAGTCGCAACAATATACGCAAAAGCCTTTTAATAGAATTCTTGCATCATCACCAGAGTACCATGACCGGGTGCGTTCGTAAGATCGTTGCGTCGTCAAGCACCTGATCAGTTACATCTACATATCCGGGTTGAAGGCCGTGCATTGCGTGTTTTGGACCTAGTGGAGCCCATATCCCTCCAGGTCAAACCACGACCGGTGTCGTCCCACTTGAAGGCTCACCTTGGTCACGGACACGTGGCCGTAATTCCATCTAATGAACATTCCGACCTAAGCGGTAACTTCAGCCTAGAAAACCCTTCGCCAAGCGATGCCATGTTACCATGACTATATTTCTTTATATATATATATATATATATATATATATATATATATATATATATATATATATATACCTTATCTGTTTTTTATTCGATATTTTCTTTTTTTTAACTGAGGCTATTAAAAGAATGATGTTTATTTTTGGCACCTGTTTTACTATATAAAAATGCAATATTCTTGTCCAGAGCCATGTATAATTTTAAATACAACTGTATTTTTTTTTTTAAATATTTTAAGTAATTAAAGGCTCATTTCATTTTCAGGCGAAAAGGTGATCGAAACAGAATGTAGGTATGAGAAGAATAATGTCAAGGTCGAACCTGACTTGTGCGACCTCACCACAAAACCCCCCACACAACGATACCAATGTCGCGCTTGGGCGTGTCCGGCCAGGTACGTTCGTATACCAGGAACAAATCATGTTTTAATATATTTAATAATAATAGAAATAATCGTGAAAATATGACGTTTTTCTTATTTGAATTTTCTGATGAATCTTAATTCTTAAGTTAACGACTGAACAAGCTCTTTGCTTATTCCACCACTATTCCTCCATTGAATCGTTAAATAATTAACCTTAACAACTTTATCAAATTATTACAATAACAATCATAGATATGAATGCAGGAGGTCATTAGCTAAAGAAAGAAGATGATGTATATGAAGAGATTTCAGATTGTCAAGTTTTTTTATTTCACTGAAGCAGACGTTAAACAGTTGAAAACGTTATCGCCTGCTATATTTCGTTGTTTATCTCTTTTCCTCGCTGAAACCATACGGCGTCTCTGATACGTCTTTTCCTCGTAATTAAAACGGAATAGTTCCTCAGTATATTATTTAACAGGTATTGGCAGGTCATATTGTATATGCTTACCAACTAATTATCTAATTAAGGAACAAGCAGAATTATTATAATTTTATTAAACGAGGGCAGCTCCAGAATAGTGTCCACTATTTATTTCAACGAAAACCATAAACTCTACAGACGTCCTTGACCCATATATACGTGTATGGACGGCCAACATTTGGGAGGTCAGGTAAATAGTCACTTATCTTTTTGACTTGGCTCATTTTGAGCCAGTATTATTTGAACTAATTTTTAAGTTCTGTTTTTGATATCCAGTCGTCTGTTTTTTCTCTATTTTGCCGAGTGTTGAACCTGCTGTTTGTCTTTTAGTTTCACTTTATCCGCCAATTTTAATCGTTCACTTAGACGTCTTTTCTTTTTTTTTTTTTTTTTTTTTTTTGGCTGACACTTGATCTTTATCTAGAAGTTATCTTTCTTTTTGATCTTCCCTATTTATCAATACTTAAATTTTCGTTTTAATCCCGGTCAATTTTTCAATCCTAAACCCCACCCCCGGTTATATCGATCACTAGCAGGAGAGCCCGGCGTTGCCCGGTGATGTAACAGTAAGAGATAGATCAAGTATCGACCATCATAAAGACTGAAAAATAAAATTGACAAAGATTATTGTTTAAGGTTGACGGAGATGCATGTCTTAATTAGTTTTTTTTTGTTGTTGTTGTTTCCTTTTTTTTCTTTTTTTATGAATTGGTCAAACCCAAACTCAAACAAAAACATTGTTTTCAATCGTTATGAGTCTACCGATTGAATAGAATTTTATTATAAACAATTGTCTTGTAAATGGAATTTTTAAAGCATTCTGAATGTAAAAATAAAGAAAAAAGTGTGCAAGACAATAAGAAACACTACCTGCCAAAAAAAAGTGAAGTTTTGTTGAAATCGGTTGAAAAATGTAGGAAATCCGATCCCATATATAAACGAACACAGACACACACTCACAAACAACGTGGGTTTTATAATAAGTATAACTCGATATGAGTTGTCCCCCTTTCATTCTCGTGATGCCTCGTAAATCGTGTTTTCAAATTGATTTCATGCAAAAACAATTGTTTTTCCAATTTTTGTCTGTCAGAACCACCGCAAGGTAATTTTACGTAGTGAAGTTTTGTTGAAATCGGTTGAAAAATGTCGGAAATCCGATCCAATATATAAACGTAAAGACACACACACACACACACACACACACACACACACACACACAACCTGGGTTTTATAATAAGTATGATGTTGGTCGCTTTCATTTTCTGTAAAAATAACAGAACCAATTGTTCAACCACAAATCTTAATGATAATGATAATATTAACCATTTCCTAATAAGTGCTTCTCGAGTTACGCTTTTCTTTACTCGCTGGACATCGAGCTGTGATCAGAGTGTAGTATCTGTCCGTGGCAGTATCTCCTTCATTGCATTAAAGAGGAATGAATCGGTAATGATACCGATGCCAGCTCAACCGTTGGCGCTTGGACTGTTTTTAAACCTGGTCCGTGCGCACGCGCTCGGACTCCCCAACCGAACTTGTGTCACACCCGACGAGCGTGGAGAGGCAAGTAAATACTAAGTGTAGTATCTGTTCTACTTATCTATAATCATAATGAAAATATTATCCGTTTCCTTATAAGGAAACATTTGGTTTCATTGACCTGTTGACATTTATAAAATCTTTTTAAATATTTTTTTAAGGAAAGAGGTTTCTCAAATTCGCTGTCCAGAATTGATAGGGGTTTCCTTCCTAACCTTTTATTTGAGATTATGTGGAACGTCAGTATCATGATTGTTATTATTATCTCTTCTTGGTATATGTGCTGTCCATTTTAGTTGTTGTTGCTGCTGGAACTCTTCAAGCGGTGTGGTTTCTATTATTTGCCAGTTCACAATGTGTGGTCCTTGCTAAAAGCTACAGGTTTCATTTGGTCAAAGCCATTTTTAACCGTTGATCTGAGAAAGCGTCTGTTTACATTCGCCATTTTCGATATTTCTGAACAAGTTGGGTGTCATGCATGATCAGTCAGTCAGTTATGTGCAATGCGTGATACACACTTAGACGATCATATATCTTTCGATACTTGACAGTAGGTTGCCATTTCTTTCGATAGACCAGTTGCCGTCCGGTCTGTCCTGCTATTTACCCAAATCTGGGCGGAGAAGAAAAGGATTCATACCTTTCCCAAGGGTATTAGCACGTAAGTGAATGTAATGGATCTGATTAGAATTCGAACTCGGATCTCCGATTCCTCAATCCGAGCCGCTATCCATTACTCTGTAACCTTCTACCTTGAGTGACTCCCGGGCCTTGTATATAAAATTCTCGATCTAACAAAGTTATTTAAGAAACCTGACTTGATTACTTACTTATGTTGTTGTTTTTTTGTTTTTTGGGTGTTTTTTGTCATTTTTTTTTTTTTGTTTTTTTTGTGGGTACACTGGTGTTCACGCAGTACAAGGCCCGAGAGTCACTCAAGGTAGAAGGTTACAGAGTAAGAAGCGCAGCTTCTGCTAATATATGTGGAAGATTACGGTTAACCGTAGACTTGAAGAGGTTAAGGTTGTAGTGATTGGAGATATATCCTCTTGGGTGACGGTTCCGCGTGAGAAGAATCTGCTCGAGATGAATTTACATCTCACCAAAGGAATACCAAGGGAGTGAGAGTGGTTCGTTACAATGGGTGTGGTATGGCGGGTCCTAGCCCCTGAAGGTTAGAACGGGTGGAACTAAGGAGTTTTGTTAATCACTTTCTATGGAAATTGTCATCGATCAGTGAGAGGCTTTCTGTGGGAAAAGAGGTTTTAGGGTGTAAAATAATTCATCACCCACAAGGCCGATACTTTTTAACCCTATCGGGACTGCCCAACCATATATGGCAGCAGTACTCTATCCTCGGTCTGATCTGATAAGGGATAGCAGGAAGAGTCAAGGATTTTCTGGATCGGTACAGGGAACCGACAATTTTTCCAGCATCTTTAGCGATGGATCGTATGGATGAATTCCACTTGAGGTCTGGACTGAGTTTAAATGCTATTAAGCAGTCAAGGCACGGGGATTCTCTGGAGGAACATCCGTTCATCACGATTGGTGAAAGTTCTAGGTCCAATTGGCGATAGTGAAATGTCACCAATTTGCTTTTTGAGGCATTGAAGCCAGTTTTCACCCACTGAGTTGTCAGAACTATGTCAGAGGAGAGATCCTTTGCTAAACTTTGACCATCTAGGATTTTTTAGGGGCACCCATATACCGCTGCATCCTCGGCATAGATATTCACAAATGATCGGAGTATACTCTTAGGCAGATCATTTATGTAAACTAGGAATAGGGTTGAACCGAGAAACGAACCTTGGAGGACGCCTGCGTTGATCGCTTGGGCTTCAGAAGAATGGTCGTTAAAAAGTACCTTTTGGTCTTTTGGTTTTGTAACAACTTGCGGTGTCATGAAAAACTACACTTTTCTATTGCTCTTCAGATTTAACCAGGGATTTGAATATTACATTTTATTTTTCTTTCTTTCTTTCTTTCTTTCTTTCTTTCTTTCTTTTACCTTTTACAATTTTGATTTAATTCCAGATAATTCTTTTTTTATTGTCTTTTACCTTACTACTCCCTCGTGTTCTTTTTTTTTTTTTTCTTTCTTTCTTTCTTTTCTTTTCTTTCTTTCTTTCTTTCTTTCTTTCTTTTCTTTCCCTTTACCTTTTACAATTTTGATTTAATTCCTGATAATTCTTTTTTAATTGTCTTTTTTTACCTTACTACTCCCTCGTGTTCTTTTTCTTTTTCTTTTCTTTCTTTCTTTTCTTTCCCTTCCTTTTACAATTTTGATTTAATTCCTTAATTCTTTTTTATTGTTTTTTTTAATTCTACTCCCTTCTTTCTTTTCTTTTTTCTTTTTTACTTTTTACAATTTTGATTTAATTCCTGACAATTCTTTTTTTTTATTGTCTTTTACCTTACTACTTCTTTCTTTTCTTTCTTTCTTTCTTTCTTTCTTTCCCTTACCTTTTACAATTTTGATTTAATTCCTGACAATTCTTTTTTATTGTCTTTTTTACCTTACTACCCCTCGTGTTCTTTTTCTTCTTTCTTTCTTTCTTTCTTTCTTTTCTTTCTTTCCCTTACCTTTTACAATTTTGATTTAATTCCTGACAATTCTTTTTTTTTTATTGTCTTTTTACCTTACTACTCCAACGTGTTCTTTCTTTCTTTCTTACTTTCTTTCTTTCTTACTTTCTTTCTTTTTTCTTCTTTCTTTCCTTTACCTTTTTACAATTTTGATTTAATTCCTGACAATTCTTTTTTTATTGTCTTTTTTAACTTACTACTCCCTCGTGTTCTTTCTTTCTTTCTTTCTTTCTTTCTTTCTTTCTTTTCTTTCCCTTACCTTTTTAATTTTTGATTTAATTCCTGACAATTCTTTTTTTATGTCTTTTTACCTTACTACTCCCTCGTGTTCTTTCTTTCTTTCTTTCTTTCTTTCTTTTCTTTCTTTCTTTCTTTTCTTTTGATTTCTTTTTTCAATTTTTTTCTTGTCTTTTTTTTACCTTTTTTTTCTTTTTTTCTTTAATTCTTTTTTTCTTTCTTTTTTTTGTCTTTTTACAATTTTGATTTAATTCCTGACAATTCTTTTTTATTCTTTTTACCTTTGTTTTTCTTTCTTTCTTTCTTACTTTCTTTCTTTCTTTCTTTCTTTCTTTCTTTCTTTCTTTCTTTCCTTACCTTTTACAATTTTGATTTAATTCCTGACAATTTTTTTTTATTGTCTTTTTTACCTTACTACCCCCTCGTGTTCTTTTTTTTCTTTCTTTCTTTCTTTCTTTCTTTCTTTCTTTCCCTTACCTTTTTACAATTTTGATTTAATTCCTGACAATTCTTTTTTTATTGTCTTTTTACCTTACTACTCCCTCGTGTTCTTTATTTCTTTCTTTCTTTCTTTCTTTCTTACTTTCTTTCTTTCTTTCTTTCTTTCTGTCTTTCTTTTCCCTTACCTTTTTTACAATTTTGATTTAATTCCTGATAATTCTTTTTTTTATTGTCTTTTTTACCTTACTACCCCTCGTGTTCTTTCTTTCTTCTTTCTTTCTTTCTTTCTTTCTTTCTTTCTTTCTTTCTTTCCCTTACCTTTTACAATTTTGATTTAATTCCTGATAATTCTTTTTTATTGTCTTTTTTACCTTACTACTCCCTCGTGTTCTTTCTTTTCTTTCTTTCTTTTCTTTCTTTTTCTTTCTTTTTCATTCTTTCTTTCCTTACCTTTTTTACAATTTTGATTTAATTCCTGACAATTCTTTTTTTATTGTCTTTTTACCTTTACTACCCTCGTGTTCTTTTCTTTCTTTCTTTTCTTTCTTTCTTTCTTTCTTTCTTTCCTTACTTTTTTTACAATTTTGATTTAATTCCTGACAATTCTTTTTTTATTGTCTTTTTACCTTACTTCTCCCTCGTGTTCTTTCTTTCTTTCTTTCTTTCTTTCTTTCTTTCTTTCTTTCCCTTACCTTTTACAATTTTGATTTAATTCCTGACAATTCTTTTTTTATTGTCTTTTTACCTTACTACTCCCTCGTGTTCTTTCTTTCTTTCTTTTTTCTTTCTTTCCCTTACCTTTTACAATTTTGATTTAATTCCTGACAATTCTTTTTTTATTGTCTTTTTACCTTACTACTCCCTCGTGTTCTTTCTTTCTTTCTTTCTTTCTTTCTTTCTTTCTTTCTTTCTTTCTTTCCCTTACCTTTTACAATTTTGATTTAATTCCTGACAATTCTTTTTTTATTGTCTTTTTTTGCCTTACTACTCCCTCGTGTTTCTTTCTTTCTTTCTTTCTTTCTTACTTTCTTTCTTTTCTTTCTTTCCCTTACCTTTTTACAATTTTGATTTAATTCCTGACAATTCTTTTTTATTGTCTTTTTTACCTTACTACTCCCTCGTGTTCTTTTCTTTCTTTTTCTTTCTTTCTTTCTTTCTTTCTTTCTTTCTTTCCCTTACTTTTTTTACAATTTTGATTTAATTCCTGATAATTCTTTTTTTATTGTCTTTTTACCTTACTACTCCCTCGTGTTCTTTCTTTTCTTTCTTTCTTTCTTTCTTTCTTTCTTTCTTTCTTTCTTTCCCTTACCTTTTACAATTTTGATTTAATTCCTGACAATTCTTTTTTTATTGTCTTTTTACCTTACTACTCCCTCGTGTTCTTTCTTTCTTTCTTTCTTTCTTTCTTTCTTTCTTTCTTTCTTTCTTTCTTTTCTTTCCCTTTTTTTTCTTTCCCTTACCTTTTTGAATTTTGATTTAATTCCTGACAATTCTTTTTTATTGTCTTTTTACCTTACTACTCCCTCGTGTTTTCTTTCTTTCTTTCTTTCTTTTTTTTCTTCTTTCTTTTCTTACCTTTTTTACAATTTTGATTTAATTCCTGACAATTCTTTTTTTATTGTCTTTTTTTACCTTACTACCCCTCGTGTTCTTTTCTTTCTTTCTTTCTTTCTTTCTTTCTTTTCTTTCTTTCTTTCTTTCCTTTACCTTTTTACAATTTTGATTTAATTCCTGACAATTCTTTTTTTATTGTCTTTTTTTACCTTTACTACTCCCTCGTGTTCTTTTCTTTCTTTTCATTCTTTTTCTTTCTTTTCTTTCTTTCTTTCCTTTCTTTCTTTTGATTTAATTTTTGACAATTTTTTTTTAATTCTTTTTACAATTCCCCTTTTTTTCTTTTGTCTTTTTTCCTTTCTTTTCCCTTACACGTTTAATTCCTGTTCTTTTTTATTGTCTTTTTTACTTTTTCTTTTTTTTTCTTTTCTTTCTTTCTTTCTTTCCTTTCTTTTCCTTTTTTACAATTTTGATTTAATTCCTGACAATTCTTTTTTTATTGTCTTTTTACCTTACTACTCCCTCGTGTTCTTTCTTTCTTTCTTTTCTTTCTTTCTTTCTTTCTTTCTTTCTTTCTTTCTTTCCCTTACCTTTTACAATTTTGATTTAATTCCTGATAATTCTTTTTTTATTGTCTTTTTACCTTACTACTCCCTCGTGTTTTTTCTTTCTTTCTTTCTTTCTTTCTTTTTTTTCTTTCTTTCTTTCCCTTACTTTTTTACAATTTTGATTTAATTCCTGACAATTCTTTTTTTTATTGTCTTTTTGCCTTACCTACTCCCTCGTGTTTCTTTCTTTTTTCTTTCTTTCTTTCTTTCTTTCTTTCCCTTACCTTTTACAATTTTGATTTAATTCCTGACAATTCTTTTTTTATTGTCTTTTTACCTTACTACTCCCTCGTGTTCTTTCTTTCTTTCTTTCTTTCTTTCTTTCCCTTTTCCCTTTTTTTTAATTTTGATTTAATTCCTGACAATTCTTTTTTTTTGTCTTTTTTACCTTACTACTCCCTCGTGTTCTTTCTTTCTTTCTTTCTTTCTTTCTTTCTTTCTTTCCTTACCTTTTTTTACAATTTTGATTTAATTCCTGACAATTCTTTTTTTATTGTCTTTTTACCTTACTACTCCCTCGTGTTCTTTCTTTCTTTCTTTCTTTCTTTCTTTCTTTCTTTCCCTTACCTTTTACAATTTTGATTTAATTCCTGACAATTCTTTTTTTTATTGTCTTTTTTACCTACTACCTCCTCGTGTTTTCTTTTCTTTCTTTCTTTCTTTCCCTTACCTTTTTACAATTTTGATTTAATTCCTGATAATTCTTTTTTTTTATTGTCTTTTTTACTTTACTACTCCCTCGTGTTCTTTCTTTTCTTTCTTTCTTTCTTTCTTTCTTTCTTTCTTTCCTTACCTTTTACAATTTTGATTTAATTCCTGACAATTCTTTTTTTTGCCTTTTTTACCTTACTACTCCCTCGTTTTCTTTCTTTCTTTCTTTCTTTCTTTTCTTTCTTTCTTTCTTTCCTTACCTTTTACAATTTTGATTTAATTCCTGACAATTCTTTTTTTATTGTCTTTTTACCTTTTACTCCCTCGTGTTTTTTTCTTTCTTTTCTTTCTTTCTTTCTTTCTTTCTTTCTTTCTTTCTTTCTTTCCTTTTTTTACAATTTTGATTTAATTCCTGACAATTATTTTTTATTGTCTTTTTTTACCTTACTACGCCCTCGTGTTCTTTCTTTTTTCTTTTCTTTCTTTCTTTCCCTTACCTTTTACAATTTTGATTTAATTCCTGATAATTCTTTTTTTATTGTCTTTTTACCTTACTACTCCCTCGTGTTCTTTCTTTCTTTCTTTCTTTCTTTCTTTCTTTCTTTCCCTTACTTTTTACAATTTTGATTTAATTCCTGACAATTCTTTTTTTATTGTCTTTTTACCTTACTACTCCCTCGTGTTCTTTCTTTCTTTCTTTCTTTCTTTCTTTCTTTCTTTCTTTCTTTCTTTCCTTTTTTTACAATTTTGATTTAATTCCTGACAATTCTTTTTTTATTGTCTTTTTACCTTACTACTCCCTCGTGTTCTTTCTTTCTTTCTTTCTTTCTTTCCCTTACCTTTTACAATTTTGATTTAATTCCTGATAATTCTTTTTTTATTGTCTTTTTACCTTACTACTCCCTCGTGTTCTTTCTTTCTTTCTTTCTTTCTTTCTTTCTTTCTTTCTTTCTTTTCGTCTTAAATGTATTCTTTAAGCCTGTTTCATCTTAAATGTATTCTTTGAGCCTGTCTCAGATTTCCATATTAATCTTTGGTAAATTCTGGTCTATTTTTCATATCCTTTTTTATCGACGGTTTTTTACATAATTTGAACTTTCATCTCCATGCAAATGTTGATTGATTCTTTCTCTATTTGATGTATAAATATTTGATCCTCCATTTTAATCCAATTCCCTAACCATTTGATCATTACACATGACCTTTTATGGATCATGTATAATTCGCCATCTTTCATTTTATGCCCAGATCTGATTAACCTTGGCTTTCCGGCATAATCAACTCTTTCAACTTTCAACTTTATATCGATCCTTATATCAATAAAGAAGTTTCAATATCCTTTCCTGAACTCGGTTTTGACCATTGATTTGAAAAGTTACTGAAATAAACTTTCTAGTTCTGTTCATATGAATATGTTCATATTTATAACTTCACTGAAATTATGATGAAGCGTACAAAAGACTGGACGTGTTAATTTCTGGTCTGAAACTTGATTCTTTTTTTCTTTATGTTTGAGGCGTCGTCTGTATTTTGATGTTCCTGTTCTTATAGACTGACTGTATTTTCAGGTGGGTTCCTGGAGCCTGGAAAGTTTGTTCTCGGTCATGTGGCACAGGTAAGAAACGGCGTAAAATTTACTGCAAGCAAATTACCGAATACGGCAAAGATAAAAAAGTGAAGAAAAAATTGTGTGCCAATGTACCTAAGCCGGCGCGACAGAAGTCCTGCAATACTAATCCTTGCCCCGCCAGGTGGCGCTCTGGACACTGGTCGACGGTAAGCGTTCAGAAATCTGACACTGAGCTTTTGTGGATTTATTTTGTAATTTTTTTTTTTTTTTTTTAAATCAGAGGCAATAAAATTCTACTTAGTCACAGAGCAAAATAGCATTCAAGACATTTTTAATGTACTTGCATTGTATTCTAAAATTCTATGATAAATAATGTTGGATATTTTGTGGCAGTTTCAAAATCGCAGGTTGTTCGTAAAAGTTAAATTTGAAATGAATGAAAAGTGAAGCGATCCGGAACGACACAGACAGACAAATAGATGGATAAAGAGGGACACAGAGAAGCATAAAGAGAAGCATAGATAGATAGATAAATAAATAGATAGATAGATAGATAGGATCAGAGTATGATAGATAGATAGATAGATAGATAGATAGATAGATAGATATCAAGAGACTGTGATATAGATAGATATGAAAATACTGTGATATACTGAAAAGACTGTGAGATAGATAGATAGATAGATAGATAGATAGATAGATAGATAGATAGATAGATACGAAAGGACTGTGACATAGATATGAAATGACTGTGATATAGATAGATACGAAAAGACTGAGATAGATAGATAGATAGATAGATAGATAGATAGATAGATAGAAAGGACTGTGATATAGATAGATAATAAATGACTGTGATATAGATAGATACGAAAAGACTGAGATAGATAGATAGATAGATATAAAAAGATTGTGATGTAGATAGATAGATAGATAGATATAAAAAGATTGTGATGTAGATAGATAGATAGATAGAAAAAGATTGTGATGTAGATAGATAGATAGATAGATATAAAAAGACTGTGATGTAGATAGATAGATATAAAAAGACTGTGATGTAGATAGATAGATAGATATAAAAAGATTGTGATGTAGATAGATAGATAGATAGAAAAAGACTGTGATGTAGATAGATAGATAGATATAAAAAGACAGTGATGTAGATAGATAGATAGATATAAAAAGACTATGTTATAGATAATCTGTAACAAAAAACAAAATAAGAGGATAGTCTCGACTCGTGATATCTTGAGTCCTGTAACCCACGTAAAGGCACGTCACGTTCAATGGCAGCAGTCGGGTGTCTTGGGCAAAATAGGCCGGTTTTCTATCCTCAGTTTTCTTTACCGCTCAAAAGCTAGAGATCCCAGTCTGTCCTGTTATTTATACATAAACGGTAGAATGTCAGATTTATGATTTCCAAGAATATTAGCACGAAGTGAATAAAAAAGAATTGTTCAGGAACTGAACTCGGTACGCCGTAATTCACCATTTCGCGCTAATAACGAGTTATGCTATCTGCACCTCCAATAGGAGGATATTTTTCTGAAAAGATTAATCTCAGGACAAATGTTGATATTCTGCTTCAATTTTCATTTCAGTGTTCTGTTTCTTGTGGCAAAGGGACAAAAGTTCGAAAGGTTTCCTGTTCACGAAGAACAGCCAAAAAGTGGGAGAACCTTCCGGACAAGGAGTGTGGTCCCAGTCCGAAACCGATCTCACGGCGGACCTGCCGTCCTCAGTCCCAGTGTCCAGAAGGAAGAATCCATCAGTGGGCAGCTTCAGCGTGGAGCGCGGTGAGTATCGAACTTGAATATAGGACCGGCTTACATTTATTCAACACTTTTTTTATATTTACATTGTTTACATTGTTCGGAATGTTGTCATCTTTATTACCATACCCACGACGTTTCAGATGCCGTAAGCTCCGACCTTCTTCAGGTGATTGGAATTTCGAACTGAACCATTTATTTCGTCTATTTCTTTTTATCAGAGATCTAATGAATGTAGTCGCATTTGTCTAAGTAGCACAGGTATCAACAACCATCAAAGATGCCACACACAGACAGAATTAATCCACAACAGTTTATCAGGCTTTTATGTAACAAGTACTGAAAAAGATGCCCACTGTTGCCTCATCTGTACGAGACTGTAAAACCCTAGCAAGACTAAAACGCCGCATACGCGCTTCACATGTTTCAGAATGGATTCCTGGAAATCGAATCGTAACCATAATATATATATATATATATATATATATATATATATATATATATATATATATATATAGTAATACTCGTTTGGAAAAAAACTCGGATCGCACAACTTGTAGATATATAGATAGATAGATACGAAAGGACTGTGATATAGATAGATACAAAATTACTGAGATAGATAGATAGATAGATAGATAGATAGATAGATAGATAGATAGATCATAGAGTGATCAATACGCTAAGTAGAGCAGGAATAACTAAAATAAATCCTAGCAGATGGTTGTGATCGGAAACGAGTAATCATTATTACGTATGATTCAAGTTTGGATGAGAATCTAACGAGATGGTAAATATATCAAATAATTCCGAAGACTTTTATTTTGACGTTTTAAATTTCCTAGAATGAATTTAGAAAATGTTTATTGTTGCACAGATACTAACATCCTCTGTTCGAGGATATAAAAATTAAAAAAGAAAACCTGGATTTTGAGAAATTTTTTTATTGCATACACAAAGGAAAACTCATGGAAATACTCAAGGCTTATGAAATACACAAAGGAAAACTCATGGAAATACTCAAGGCTTATGAAATACACAAAGGAAAATTCATGGAAATACTCAAGGCTTATGAAATACCAACTAAAATAAGCTCGGTTTTCAACATGCTATACACATATACTGTAATACAGGGACTATCACTAGATGGGATTAAAGAACTTTTTGAAATCTCATCTTGATTCTTACAAGGAGACTCACTGATCCTATTTCTGTTCATCATTGCTCATGACTACTAAATATAACTCATATTTAGTAGTCAAGAGCAATGATGTAAATATTGTGTTTACCCAAAAAGAAACAAGAAAGAGGCAATACTCTGAAATCACCAGCACAGATTTTTTTTTACATCCAAAACTCTTCAAAAAAAGTGCAAAACATTAAAATTCGCTGCAACACCAATCAAATATAAATGAAATGAAAACAAAATTCATGTCTTTTACAAGGAGAAGATTTTATTACAATCAAGAGAGCCAATCAAAATCCTTTTTTTTTAATTTTTATATTGCGTTGGTGCATAATTATCAAGCGTTTTTGTAGGTGAGTTATTTGTTAATAAAAATTGCTGTTTTGTTTACTTTTTTAAATAAAGATATTATTTTAAACGGGAAGCAGTTATTGAAATAGATGGTGACTACGCTCCGGAATAGTCATTTAAAAATGTTATTATTGAATTGTTATGTTTCTTTTTTCATAATAAATATTGTTTAAAAAACGCCTGATAATTATGCACCGACTCAATATTTGAGATCATAGTTGAACTCCTCACAAAAAAAAATATATGTTAGAATTGCAGTGGCATGAGCAGCAGTATAAAAATAATATTCACTTTTGATACTACTCTATGAAGTTGCACGTTTTATTTTTTTTTTTTTTATCTAGAAGCCAAAAATGAAGGACTGAATGTGTAATTCAGTTCAACAGTACAAACAGTCCTCTTATAGAGGTCAAGCAGTTAAACTAGTGAGAGCAACGCTATACGTCAGATAGAAATAACATATTTCCAATCAAGGATTATGGGAGCTCGGTGGCGTAATGGTTAGCGGCTTGGATTGAGGAATCGGAGAGCCGAGTTATAATTCCAATCGAGTTCCTTGGGAAATATATGAAACTAACTCTTCTCTCTCCAGCTATGGGTAAAATAGCAGAACAGACTGCGCCCTGGGTGGCAACCACTCTAGGAGAAAGAAACTCTGAATTTAAACCGGATCGCACTATCCTAAAAGCTGCGGACCGCTTGTGAATCAAAATTCACACCGAAGCTACTAATATTTGCACGTCCGAATGAATACGACCTCGGCTACGCTTGGTCAGGTTTCGTTTGAATGCGGCGTGAAAAGGGGTCCAATGTTCCATAGGGAACAAGAGGAACTAACTAACAATGAAGAATTATATGAGAACCTAACATAGATTACGGACACAATCTGTAAGTAATTTAGTGGCAATTACTGGAGAAGTAAACAAGAAGTTATGTATAAGCTTATACTAGGGAATCCAAATTATAGGAAAATGTCAAAAGATAGACCAGAAAATACTTTTATCGATCAACTCATAGACGAAACCTGAATCAGAAATTAAAAACTGTATGGAGCTAAAAGAAAAAAAAATTAAGTGTTCATTAAGGATAACCAGAAATATAGATTGTCCACGATCGCTAGTAAGCATGTTCTAGGTCTGAAGTTGCTTTAAAATTGTTCAGGGTAAATTTTCTTCTTATCATTCAGTCAAGGTTAGATATTTATTTCTGGTATTTGTGTATCTTTTGTGCTAGACTTTCATGAATAGCCGTGAATCTTTTGAATCAGAAGCCATGGATTCCGTCATGGGCAGAAACCTTCCAGAATTATTTTCACCAAATATAATTGTTGTAATAATTATATACGTATTATTGTAATGTATTATAATTATATTATATTCTATCATGAAAATTATTACTATGAGGTAGCGTCCTGGAAATTCCTCGGTCCGACAAACTTTCAAAAATATAGCCAAATGACCAAACATTTGATTTTTTTAAATGCCTTTACTTAATCGGGCCAAGAGTATTTTCTGCATCTACCACCCACATCGCAATATTATTTTCCTAACTTTTGTACTTTCTATTTGTTATGTGACCTTACCCATAATAACATAATGGACTATTCCATGCGTAATAAATACTGCGCCTCAAGAGGAAGCAGGGAGTTCAGTCTGAAGTCGGGCGACCGGCTGACCGGCTGATTGGTTGAATTTCTCTGCCTTCGGGCTGGGAAGAACCCGAACGAGGCTACCTTTCGGGGAGGTAAACCAGCCCTGAACACGTTTATACGGGTTCAAAGGGCATATTTTTGGCCGAGCCCACGAGCTCGGAGATCCCACGTTAAACCGGCCTTGTGCCACATGATGCCCTCGTGGGGGGGGGGACTAAATACTGTTCAGTCTGAAGTCGGACGACCGGCTGACCGGCTGATCGGTTAAACTCTCTGCCTTCGGGCGGGGAGGAACCCGAACGACGCTACGCCGAAGGGCGGAGTCTCTTTCGGGAGGTAAACCGACCCTGAACCCGTTTTATACGGGTTCAAAGGGCATATTTTTGGCTGATCCAACGGGCTCGGAGGTCCCACCTTAAACCGGCCTTGTGCCACATGATGCCCTCCTGGGGTGAGGTAACTAAATACTGTTCAGTCTGAAATGAAGTCCGTCAGGAGTCTGTCAGTCAGTTTGAGCGAGTCAGTCAGTCGAGTCTGAGGCAGACCGAAACAGAGTCGCGTTCGGACAATTACTACTAAACCTGATTGTTCGTACTAACACTTTCTACTTCTCTGTATATATTCCTGGTTGTAATATATCTGTGTTATTCCATATCCGCCTTCGAGTTCTTCTTTATTGGTTCTACCTTGGACTATCACCGTGGTACAAGGAACCGGACCATAACACCATTGTGAATTATTATTATTATTATTATTATTATTATTACTGACCAATTTTTCTTGCAGTGCACGGCCAGTTGTGGCCCAGGTGGTATACGCAAACGAACTTTAAAATGTACCAAACTTGACAAGCTGTCCGGAGCCCTGAAAGTCACATTGGACTCCAACTGCCAACATATCGCCAAACCAAACATTCCACTGAAAAAAACATGCGACAACCAAATTCCTTGTCCGCTTCCGGAGACTTTCTACTGGCACATCAGTTCCTACTGGTCGGAAGTAAGTAAATTAATTACTTTCTCAATCAACTGGTCGGATATTACTCTTTCCAAATGTTACAGGAGTTCAACAATCTCTTACGTGATGAATACAAAAAAAAAAATGGAGAAAGAATGAACCGGCGTATTTCTTGTTTTTTAACTTTGGGTTCACGTAACATAATTGCCTTCGTATAAGACATGTCTTTTTTTTTTTTTCTTAATTTTTAAATGCACCAAAAACTACTCGTTGAGTCAAATCCGAAAAAAACCATCGCCTTTATAGATATAATAATTAGATGGAATTTGAATTTTAATCTATATACAGTGCAACCTCGGTTCTCAAATGTCTCACATGTCGAACAAATCGGTTTTCGAACAGAAAATTCGAGATAAAAATGCCTCGGTTATCAAACGAAATTTCGCTTCTCGAACAACATTGCCAAACCGAGTTAAGCCGAACGAAATCATTTCTTTGTCGACCGCCATGTTGTATACATTCGTATGTTGTGCCGTACTTTTCTTTTCCAATTTTATTGTACTGTGACTTTTTTTTATCTACATTGATTCCTATTGGAAAAATAGTTTCGGGTTACGAACGGCTTTCAGGAAAGAATTAAATTCGTGAATCGAGGTTCCACTCTATATAAAACAGAGAATGTCTGTCTGTCTGTCTGTGTGATAATCGAGATCCATCCAATCGATTTTGACCAAACTTGGCACATACATTGTACAATAAGAGATAGGTTCTTAGCGTAAAAAATCGATAATTTTTAAAAAATCAATAATCGATAAAGCCGACCAAAAATCGATAAATTCAATTTTTTTCCACCGATTTCGATCAAACTCGGTATGTAGGTTACTTACATAATGACGAGCTCAACGATACATCATTTTTTATTTCTACTCCACTGTGTTTAGCGAAAAATGAAAAATCGATTTCAACACAAATCAATTTCAACTCAAATTTTAAAATAAAAACTTCCTCAATTTTCAAGCAATCTAATAAAAACTTCACTCAATTGTGGCCAACAATAAGTTGATTGTTTAACAGTCGTTTAACTTGATAACTGAATCCACTCATATCGTGAAAACCCGCGTAAATAGCGAAAAATGGCGATTTTTACTGGTTTTATTCTTATTTTTCGTTGATCTTTCAACCAATTTTCATCGAACTTAACAACTTCTTTCTAAATGTATCGTCTTTTACATACTTGGTAGCACACGGACAAATTGAATTTCAAAAACTCCAAAATATTTGTGGTCTGAAGTGGGTCTTCATGTTGCCTGTTTTATCCCTTCATGTCCTCGGCTAGCTTCGATTGAAGAAATACAGACTACTTCTGTTATATCAGTAACTGCATTAATTTAAAATGTTTTGTTTTTTTTAATGAAAGTACTTTAAAGTAATTGAAGATATACTTTGTTACATCTTAACATGATACTGTTTTTACTCCATTCTAATTGAACGCTTTTTCTGATCGACCAGATGGGTATGGCTGCTAGTAGAATATAAATCTGAGCTATTTATCTGTCTGACCATTGTAAGGAATGAAGCATTTAAAGTATTTCTAAAAATCCAAGTAAATCCTTATTATCTCTCCCCAAATTATTACAACCTAAAAACAATTCTGGCTTTAAATAACTTGTAAAGGGCTGATGTCACAAAAAACAAATCAATATATTTGTATTTTAATGTTTTATATGTTTTCATAAGGAAATTAAAATTTTGGCATGTCTTCTTTTAACGATATTGCTTTTCGATCTTAGTGTAGCTTAGTATAATACATTACTTTGTAGGCAGTTACCATTGAGTATGTATTCGCGAAAAATCGTTTAATCTTTCATTTCTATAATTCTTAAAAAGCGCTAATTAATTTCCCTAAACACGGCAATTAATTACTTTTGCAATTCTTTATCGGGTTGGTTTATTTTTCTTTCTTTCTTTCCAGTGTTCACAGAGCTGTGGAGATGGGGGTCTGCAGAGACGAGCTGTGCAGTGCCTCAGTCGAACGTGGAAAGTTGTGTCGAACGAATTCTGCAGCAGGAAGAATAAACCTATCGATGTGCGACGCTGTCCTCACCAACCGTGCCCTGCGACACGTAAGTGACATCTATATAAATAAACACACAAGGCCACACGGGTGGGAAGCAAACATATGTAGGATGGTTTTGAAGTGTTTTGTTTTGCAAGTGACGAAAACCTGTCAACCTCCTTGAAAATCAACATCATACTATCAGCCAGTTATATATATATATATATATGTGTGTGTGTGTGTGTGTGTGTGTGTGTGTGTGTGTGTTTGTATTATAAACATACAGTTTTAAGGTATGCTATATTTATGCGTAAAAGTGGATAGAGGTTGCGTAAATATAAAAATGTGCATTGAGGTTAACACCGAGTCGTAACAGTCTGTTTCATGTTTGAAAGGAATCTTCAAGATATATATCTCTCTCTCGCTCTCTCGCTCTCTCTCTCTCTCCCTCTCTCTCTCTCTCTCTCTCCTCTCTCTACATATGTATATATAGGGAGAAATAGAAAGAGGGAGAGCGACGTAGCCTATTTGTCGCTAATACTTTTTTGCACGCTCTATATATAGGCCACTGAGGGATTGAGCCAAGTAGAGAAAGGAAGAAACTACACGAAATATTCAACAGAATTACTCTAAAACTTAACTATAGGTACTTCGGAAACGCACGACAAATGCGTTAAAAAAAGACAACAGAAAAATATCTATTACAGCAAAATCACTCATAAAGTATGTACTTTTCTGCAAGTACAGGTCCCCACCTGTACTTTCAGAAAAATACGAGTGTCCACTAAACAGTAACTGCTTACAAAGTAATGTAATATACCAAGCTACAGTAAAATCGAATCATTTTCTCAATCACCCCGTTTGTTATATTTGTGTTATTCGGTATGACAACATCAAATAATATGACAGTTCTTGGTGCCTTTTTCTAACTTTATAATATACGAGCGGCGATAGTGTATCACTCTGCCTATTTGAAAATTATAGTCCCCGAATATTGTGGCCTTTCTAACTTCTTCTTCTTCTTCTCATTATTATTATTATTATTGTTTCTTGCAGCTTCCCCGCCCTGCGTGGACACACTGAAATGGTGTCAGCTAATTTTCAACAACAACATGTGTTCCTATGGCAACTACCGGACCAAATGCTGTTATACATGCTCCCGGCATAAATACTAAGAGAATCAATGGACATGCGCTGCCGTGGGCATAGAATACTCAGTCAAAACACTTATCAAAAGATAAATATATATATATGAATACTGTATATATTGTGTCAAGAAAGGACAACGCGCAGGATAGATGGAGAAGAAATTAAGGTAATGACGAAGGGGTAAATAAAAGAGTTCTAGTTTAAATAAAAGAACTCGTTCGCTTAAGATACCCTCCCCTCGTCAGCAGATTAAAAAAAAAAAAAGGAAAAAAAGAAAAAGCAGATATCTACTATTTTTTCAAAGGATGTACTGTAGAGTTTCCTCGTTTTGAAAAGGAAGCCTAAAACATCAGCACAGCGAAAAATGCGGGCGAAATAGAAATCAACAAGGAAAGAAATGAATGACGAAGGATAATCGGTTGGAAAGAAGACAAAGGTAGAAAGCGCGGAAGTGGGAGTGATTTTTCAAAAATAAATAAATAAACCGTTGGCGCGAAAACGACAAAGTGGCGGGAGAATAATGAAGTAATGGCGCGAAATCGATAAACAGCAACATTTTATTTCTTTTTCCTTTTTTTTTTAATGACTAGCCACACAGTAAAGTGTAAATATCTTGTATTTCGCCTGAAATACAAGCAACGAATCAAGAGATTATATATATCTGAACGTATTTGATAATTTTTATTATTATTCATTTTAGCATTATTATTATTATTATATGATCTCAGTTAGTTAAATAAATTACAAGGACATCGACCATAATGATCTTATAAATGAACCTTATCAATAGCAAAATGAAACTATCAAAGGATATATATATATATATATATATATATATATATATATATATATATATATATATATAAGCACCTCAAGACAGAGTAATCGCTCAGCCTTGATGTTATTCTTGTTACCGAAGAATATGCTGTTTACGCGCTTACAGGTTATCTTCAGGAATTCGAATGTCGAAACAATTGTTTTACAAGCAGTATACTGATGTCGATGATGATTACTATGCTGAAGATAAAATCGCGTTTCTAGTGATGATGATGATGATGATGATGATGATATTGAATGGTTGATTTGTTAATGGTGTTTTTAACGAAAGCGGTGTTTATTCGGCGATACTAAGAACCTCAATGAAAACAAGAAACGGAAAATGGTTATATTTCACAACTAATATTCATTAAATCTAATTTACAAAGGAAATAGCAAAAATCGACTTTAGAAGTTGGTTTTCTTACAAGAATCTTCCTTTCCCCAAATACCATAAAAGGAATTGTTTACTGGCTTGGCGAAAACTTTTCCAAAATACGGAATCTTATCCTTGGGAAATCAATCAACGATCCGAATTTTCCTTCTATATTATTATTATTATTATTATTATTATTATTATTATTATTATTATTGTTTTGTTGTTGTTGTTGTTGTTGTTGTTATTTGTTCAATTATTGAGTGGCTTAAGATAAAAATTAAATAACAACAAACCTCTTGAATACTCGAGCACTTTTCTTAGCATTCTAGTTGCTTTCAGGAAAACTATCCTCCGGAGTGTCCCAACTGTTCTATTGATTTCAAGACCCTCCGGTTTTTCTTTGGGATCTTACAGATAGTTCTCAGTGCTGCGAAAACGACTGGCACCACTGTCACCTACATGTTGCACAAATTCTTCAGCTCCCTAACATGATCGAGATGCTTAAACTTTATATGCCAAAAGAGCTAAATCCACCATATATCATTTTTTTTTCACGGCTACGAAATCTGGACTTCTGGTCTGCAATGGGCAAGCCATTTGAATCTTAAAATTCCAGAAAATCACGTACATTTTATTCTCTCGGACAGATTTTTGTTTGTGCATATATTCACTGATCGAAAAACAGTCGCTGGCACAGTTTCTAGTTCCTACCCAGTCATGTCTATTCTGCTATTATTTGATACATTCACTATTATTATTATTATTATTATTATTTCATTCTTTCTTCACATTATTGTTTGTCGAGGTTCACACTAATATTATGAGATGGATTTTACAGGAGGTCAATTGAGAGCAAATTTTAATATTCCAGAACTCTGCATAGGATTCTTTCTCATATTCATAACGTTGACTTTTGTATTGGTTTATATTTCCTTTCTTCCACTTTTTTTTTTTTTTTTTTTTTTACCTAAACTCATCAGAACTGTTTCAAGCGTGCCAATTATGATGGGTACAATTACAACCTCCGTGTTACGCAATTTCTTGAGTTCTAGACAAATTCAATTTTTTTTTCCCACCTTTTTAATCGCCTTCGGTTTCATTCTGTGATTTGCTAGAATAGCGACACCAATTCTGTGAGTCTCCAGAGTTCGTTTGAATTTCAAAATGACATTCTCAGAGCCATTCTCATTCCTTCTCCCCTTTTTTTCCCCCATTTTTTCCCTCTTTTCATTTTTCCCTTTTTAAATTTTCTCCCTTTTTTATTTTATTTCAATTTTCTTATTTTTTTATTTCTTTTTGTTTTCGTTTTTTTTCATCTCCCATTTATTTTTATATATTTTTACATTCTTTTTTATTTTTTTACTTTTTATCTTTTCTCATTGTTTTTTTTTGTTTTTTTTTTATCAAATATTATTCGTTTGCACAGTTTCCAATAGGTCTCCGTTCCGATCCTGTCATGTCTATTCATGTAGCTCTGAGATGATATGCTGCCCTGTCATTTTATTAATACATTTGCATGTTCATATTACATGCGAGGTTGTTATTATTATTATTTTCATTATTATTATTATTATTATTATTATTATTAAAAGGCACGGTATCTGGTGATTGTCGTTGAGGGGGGGGTTCGAGTGCTACACGAATTTCCCACACATTCTGATGTTGACAAATAGCCTCTTTTTCTTCAAACTCTCACATTTTTATCGAACAAAGGGAAAAGAATGAAGCCGCCTCCTCTCGCCAGCGATTAGTTAAATAGTTGCTTTTATATTTGGGAAGATCATTGTTATCTCTAAAAAAAATTGTCAATGCAAAAAAAAAAAATGAATTATTCTTACAAGCAAAATATGTTTCGTATTTAAATAATCCACAAACGGTTGATAATCCGTAAAAAACGAATCAAGGCATTTTTTTCTTTCTTTATTTTTTATTTTTTATTTTTCATTCGTTTTTTTTTTTTTTTTTTTTTTTTTTTCATTTTTTATATTTCATTTTTTATTTCTTTTCTTTTATTTTTTAAAATTTTTCATCGTTTTGGTCATTTTTTTCATTTTTTTTTTCTTCCCTTTTTTTTTTTTTTTTTTTCATTTTTTTTTCTTGATGACCCTCATAGGAAAGATGATAAAATTAAACACCTTTAAATCTCCATCACTTTCCTCCGTGTTTTCGCCTATTTCAAAACGGTCTGAATCGCAATTTTTTTAATTCTAACAAACTTATCGAAATGAACAGCAATTAAGGCTACAAATAATGTCATCATCATCATTATTATTATTGAAAACAAAACACAAAGGACAGAATGCATCTTGAAGTTGCTGTTTCTTGGATTAAAACTGAGTTACAGCAACCCTCTTGGCAACCACAAGAAGTGACGTGCTTATTCATCTAATAAATCGCTAACGTGATTATTTGAAGATTATTAATAAAATAATCAACCCTTAATGAAATAACACTTACGTATATATTAAGTTGAAGAAATTGCTTTTTTTACGTTTCGAAAATGAAACTGAGCCGTTATGAACTTCAGAAAATTTGAACGGGTAAAATGTGCTTAACGGTAAAAGTAGACCACGACGCTCTTCATAGCCGAGTTGGTTTAAACATATCGGATCTAACGCAGGTTCGTGTCATATTTTTAATAGGATTTCTCGAATGTTCAGGCAGGTATACGAAATAAAATACTGTTTATGAAATAAACAGAACGTCTACTCAAATATGGGTATCCACTAAAAAATAACGTTTAAATTAATAATAATATGACTGATTAATGAATGAAAAATTAATTATTTCTTTAAAAAATTGCTTTCTTTACGTTTCGGATACGAAAATGGGCAATTATGAAGTTTCGAGAATCTGATCGAATAAAAGGTGCTTAAAGGCAAAAATAGAACCTCGCTTGATCACGATGCTTTTCGTAGCCGAGTTGATTAAAGCACGCCAGATCTAACGGCGGTTTCTTTCTTCTTCTTTTTTTTTTAAGCATTTCACTCCAAGCAAGGCGGGAGTGTCACTAGCACGCAAAGAGTGACAGAGTGTGACAACAAGAGTAAAGAGGGGGGTTTGAGGAAAAGGATACAGAGAAGGACGGGGATCAGGATCAAGGCATCAGAAGATGTCGATCGGCATTACATTTGAATATTTGAAGATTATAGCTATCAAGGAAGCAAGTAAGAGGGAGGGAGCTTCACTGTCGGAAAGTGCAAGAGAAGAAGCTGTTGGAGTAGAAGAGGCGGTTACATTTAACGGTTTCGACAGTAAAGGGTGGTACTTAGATGCCAACCTAGTAGCACGCTTAAATTCATGTGGTGAGGGCACCAGTGAAAGTAGCTCGTCAGAGAAATTGCCATGAAAATATTTATAGAAAAGGCAGAGGGAAGCCACAGCACGTCTGTGAGAAAGTGACTGTAGGCGAGATGCCAGATCAGGACCTATCACATTGCATATCCGTCTCTGGATTTTGTCTATGACCTCGAGACCATATATGGCAACATTATTCAATGCATAGGATGAATGGTCGATTTGTAGATTTGAAGGATGAACTCAGGTGAGAAAAACCTTCTGGCGCGACACAAAGAACAAACTTTCCTTGCGGTAGAAGAAGGTATTGATTCAATATAGTTGTTCCACACAGAGGGACGCAGGTTTAAATCCTGCTGTAGGGCGTATTTTTCTCTAATAAGATTTCTAGAATATTCACGCCAGTGGATAAAATAAAATATGAGTATCCAGTTTGAGGTAATAAGCGTTTAGAGTAATCAAAATATGTTGCATTAATAAATAAAATATCCTTTATTTCTTTAGAAATTGCATTATTAGGTATATATACAGCTGTCACATAATGCTTCCTGATTTAGAAGGCAATTAGACTTTAACGTTCTTATTATCCAACAATATCGATTAAAACTATTATCTATTAGTCGCTATAATAATTGACTATTACTAATATATTCTTCTTCTATGTACCGTGACCCTTTCAGGTCGTCGGCGATCATGGCTCTCCACAATTTCCTCTCTTTTGTAGCCCTTAATAAATTTTGTTTTTTTGTTATTTCTCCTAAATCTTGTTCTGCCATCCATTTACTCAAGCTCATTCTTCTTCTTCTATATGCCGTGTCCCGTCATGACGTAGGCGATCATGGCTCTCCACAATTTCCGGTCCTTTGTAGCGCTTAATAAATTTTGTTATTTTGTTATTTCTCCTAAACCCTGTTCTGCCATTCGCTCAGGCTCGCTAAGTAAATCAGGCGTTGTTTTCCCACTTGCCTTCAATCTGTCATGTAAGTATCAAATTTTCCAATCTCTCACCCGACAAAAAATTGTGCGATTGTTGAAGTATTGATCAGCCCTTCCCTGTGCGGTCTGCCGAAGATCAAAGTACCCCTCCCCGATACTCTTGTGTGCCAAATACAAGTGACTGCACGATTAAATTGTTTCATTCAGTTCTTCCACGTCCCGTAGTTTATTTGTACGGTATACTTATTATTTTTCAAGACATTTCCTGGCACTCTATCCAAAATGGCAAATTTTAACGCCTCTTATATAAACAATTAACCTATCACACTTTAAAACATATGGAGATACATGCTAATGGTAATATTAGCCGTTTCCCTATAAAGAAACATTCGGCATTCATTGACCAAACAGCCAGTGTTGTTTTCGGTTGAAATTTATAAAATCTTTCTCTAAAAAGAATTTTTCAATAGATTTATCATGTCCAGTAGCCTCTTATCGATCTTTCCAGTATCGATGGGGGCTTCTTTCCTAACCTTTTATTTGTAGTCGTATGGAATATCAACATTATGCCATTATTTTTTCTCTAAGTTACATGTGATATCCATTTTAGTTGTTGCTGCTGTTGGTAGTCCTCAAGTGATGTGGTTTCTGTTATTTGGTAGAGTTCTTTGCGATTCTGTAGCACCAGGCCAATGTTCAATGGAGGATGGTCTTTGGCAAGACCCACAGGCTTCACTCGCTCAAAGCCTTTTAACCACTGATCGTAGGAAGCTGATATATATACATATGAGTGTGTGTGTGTGGTTTGCGTTATATATATATATATATATATATATATAGTTGATCAATATGTTTCACATATATCCTCTCTGAATTCTATCGGTGAGAAGTAAGTTCCACTCGAAAAGCTTCTTCCCGTGAACCACTTCTCTGTGGAACCGACTCCCAAGAGGATATTTCCCCGATCACTACAATTTTAACCATTTCAAGGTTAACCATTATCTTCCCCTCCTATCCGCATAAACTGCCTCTTAACTTAACCCTCTACCTCAGTGGCTCCGAGTCTTATACAGGGTGAACCTTACTGTAATATATATATATATATATATATATATATATATATATAGATAGATAGATAGATATACATATATATATATATATATATAATATTATATATATCTATATATATATATATATATATATATATATATATACACACATTCATATATATATATATATATATATATATATATATATATATATATATATATATATATATATATGTATATAAATATATATATATATATATATATTTTTGCAAAATAATTGCTCAATATAGAATTTACAGACATTCATATATGTATATAAATAAAAAAGAAAATAACAGCAAGATATATAATCCGGTATTCTTATAGATATTTTTTTTTTGCAAAATAGTGCTCAATGTAAATTTACAGAGCATTAATATTATAAATTAATTGATTTCGGAAAAAAAACATTTTTCATCAATTAATTTATAATATATATATATTCATATATATATATATATATATATATATATATTTTATTAATACATATTTTATGTTTAACTTTCTTTTCATTTATAGATACAAGTATTTAAGTAAATGCTCTGTTATATATATATATATATATATATATATATATATATATATATATATATATATATATATATATATATAATATATATATATATATATATATATATATATATATATATATATATATATATATATATATATATATATATACAATTTTTTTTCATAAATGCCACCAATAAGTTGATGGCGTCTGTTTTAAGTGACTTAAATTCTAATTCCTGCAGTCTGAAGATTTTCCTTCGTAAGCTTTTATTTGAAGTCTTTCAGTTATGTTACCATGCGTGATACACGCTTAGACGATCTTTCGATATATGACTGACGAGGCAGATTTTTCCTGCACTAGGTTGCCATTTTTTCTGCGGTAGACCAGTTGCCATCCATGGCTATAGAACCCGGTCTCTCCTGCAATTTACACAGAGCTGGGGGGAAGAAGAAGAGGCTTCACACTTTTCCCAACGGTATTAGCATGTAAGTGAATGTAATGGATTCAACTGGAATTCGAACTCGGCTCTCCGATTCCTCAATCCGAGCCACTATCCATTGTAAACAAAAACGAGATTTGGTGAGTAAAACTTTGGACAAATACTTTTTTTTTCTTTTTTTTTTTTTTTGTTTAACTATCGCCCAAACCATAATCAATGTAAAAAAAAGTAACCCCTGTTGTCAACCTTGACAGTGGAGGTAAAATTATCTGAGACTTCTGGCACATTCTCTCTCACTCTCTCTCTGTTTCTCTGTCTCTCTCACCTGCCCTGTTTCTAATTCTCACTCTATCTTTCTCTCTCTCTCTCTCTCATTCTTACTCTTTCTCTCTGTCTCTCTTTCTCTCTCACTCTTACTCTTACTCTCTGCCTCTCCCACTCTCTTTCTCATTCTCACTCTATCTTTCTTTATCTTTCTCTGTCTCTCTCACTCCCACTCTATCTTTCTCTCTCACACACTCTCTCTCTCACTCTGTATCTCTCACCCTTTCTCTTTCTCATTCTATCTTTCTCTCTCTCACTCTCTCACTTCCTCTCTTTCTCTGTCTCTCTCACTCTCACTCTATCTTTCTCTCTCACACTCTCTCTCTCTCACTCTGTATCTATCACCCTTTCTCTTTCTCATTCTATCTTTCTCTCTCTCACTCTCTCACTCCCTCTCTTTCTCTGTCTCTCTCTCTCACCCTCTCACTTTCTCATTCTCACTCTCTCTTTCTCACTCTCTCTTATGTCATTTTTAAGGATGTGAACGATCGAGGCTCTACACAATTTCCTGTCTTTTGTTGACCTGAGTAATTCCTGCCCCAATAAGAAAGAACCTTTTTAGTTTTTGTTGTCCCTATTTTGATATCTATGTAGATAATTCGCATTGCTTCTCTTGCAACGTAACTTTTATCCATTTTCAAGACTTTCAACCCGAAATAGTTTTAGCTGACTGACGGTGGTTGGATTTTCTCCGATATCCTTTGCCGCCTATCTTTCTACGAATGCTAAATTTCTCAGTCCTTAATCGAAGAATGTTTCAGAGATTAAAAGTTGATCTTTCGGAAAGTGCGAAAACATGTCAACATAAAAAAAAAATGGCCAACGCAGCTTGGTCACATTAATTAGAAACCCAACAAAAGAAATGGAGACTTATCAAATTTATGAGACGAATCGCACTTCGATAGTATATCTAACGCTGTCATTAGTACAACAAATTTTCTAAGGCTTGTGCAGGTGGGATGGACCGCGATCAGGGTGTTGAGTATGTAAAAAAGAAAATACCTCACCCAAATTCTAAGCAGTCACGTAGCAACAATAAATTTACCGATATGGTCACTAATAAGACAAGTGATAAAAAAATCCTTAAGATATCCCCACAAGTGGCGTGTTTTCCACGGAGTGAATAATTTGTTACTTTTTTTTATCTAAACAAAGGGGGGTTTAATCTAAATAGTTGGTCAAGTAAATTATGAAAACTAAAAGACCTTTAAAATGATTTCCAGCTGTTTTACAAGACGAGAGACCCATCATGTATAAAACAGGGAGTTACATTTCAATGACCCTGTATATATATATATATATATATATATATATATATATATATATATATGTATGTATGTATGTATGTATATATGTATACATATATGTATGTATATATATATATATATATATTTACACACACACAAATATACATAAATATATATATATATATATATATGTGTGTGTGTGTGTGTGTGTGTGTGTGTGTGTGTGTGGAGGTGGCGATCCCAGTGTGCGGCGCCTTTGGAAACTGCCTGAAAACCATACTGCGGGTTGACCCAAGGCTGGTTAGTGAAACTGGTTAGACGGACAACTAGGGGCCGTCGATAGCTGTGCTAGCACGAAGTCACAAGTCATCGTGACTGAGAGTTTGAGTGTGCTGGCCTTGTTCAGACTGATAACTTTAGATAACACGCTCTCTCCCATAAACTATAACTACGGTCTGCTCAGCATAGTTGCAGTATAAACCACAGGTTGACTGTGTGGGTGTTAACAATACAAATATGCCTGAGCAAAAGTCTGCAATAGGGATTTGCTAGCCACCCTAATAGACGTGTATCCTTGAATACGAGTGGCCATCTATGATATATATATATATATATATATATATATATATAAATAACTATACTCGTCTCGAAAAACCTTGTAGGTTTGTCTGGCTCACTAGGTTTGACTATATATATATATATATATATATATATATATATATATATATATAATTCTTCAACCTTAATATATAATATTAGTAATTACTATCTTTAAGCATATAAATATACATATATGCACACGCATTATCACTCGCACACAAACACATACATTATATTCAGCATCTCGACTCCAGAGTTTCGTATGATGCAGGAGGTTTAAAACAATTGACTGTATTTTCTCAATTTCTTTATTTTTATACTAAACTAAAATGAATTTCTGCAATGTTTATTGGTATTAATTTGATTTCTTTCTCCTCGTGAATGTGTGTATGTTTCTGTATGCTTGTGCGTGTGTATATGTGTCAAATGTCGTGTCTCTTTCTCCTTTTCAGCCTTTTCTTGTCTCTCTCTCTCTCTCTCTCTCTCTCTCTCTCTCTCTCTATATATATATATATATATATATATATATATATATATATATATATTTTCTTTTCCTTCTTTCTTTCACATTCGTCTCTGAGTGGCAAAGTATAAATAAGTACATTATATATTTTAAGATATTTTTATGTTTATACATTCTTTTTGATATACAATGTAACCCGGATATAAGAGAGTTGTCGGGACCGGATAAGAAGTCTCTTATATCCGGGTTTCTCTTATATCCGGGTTTGGTCTATTTTATATACATTAACACAGGCTCTAATTTGGGACCAGAGAAAATCTCTCTTATATCCGGGTTTCTCTTATATACGGGTCTCTTATATCCGGGTTTCTCTTATATGCGGGTTTCTCTTATATCCGGGTTTCTCTTATATCCGGGTTACACTGTATATTTATTATTTATTCTTTTTTTTTCTTGGCGAAATCGGTACAAGCACGTCAGGCTATATGACGGTTCCGTGTAGGACACAGGTTCGATTCCTGTCAGAGGACGCATATTATCTATGACAATTTCTCGGACATTCAGGCCGGTAAATGTTGTTAATACTGTTTATTATAAACAGAGCATTTAGTTAAATGTTTGTACCAATAAAAAAGAATGTATAAACATAAAAATGTCTTAAAATACATTATATATATATATATATATATATATATATATATTGATATATTGATATGAGTTTGTGACCCGCAAAAGCGTGAAACCTAGGGTCACAAACTCACACCAATCCAACCAAATATGTTAGCTCTATCTCTGATATTGAGCGCGTTCAAATAAGTACCGCGCATAAAATATATAAATAATAATAATAATATATAAATATATATCTATATGTATATATATATATATATATATATATATAAATATAAAAAAATAATAACCATAAATAGACAGTTTATATATATATATATATATATATATATATATATATATATATATATATATATATATATACACGTTGAAAATAGATAGATAGATAGATAGATAGATAGATAGATAGATAGATAGATAATCATGTGTGTGTGTGTGTGTGTGTGTGTGTGTGTGTGTGTGTGTGATCTGGCGTGTGTTGGCAACTCAGCTACGGAGAGCTTCATAATGAAGTAAATTTCTATTTGCATTTAATGTACATCCACTCGTTCAGATATTCTCGAATGCCATATCTGCTCAATTTCGTATCCAAAATGTAAACAAAGCAATTTCTAAAGAACTAATGGATTTTGTCATTTCACTCCGACATACATTGAAACGGTACTCAATAGCCGTATTTGAGCAGACGTTGCGTTTTATTTACACTGTTTACATTTTATTTATTAAGTTTTCTCTGAAGGAGTGAATGTACAAGATGGTCCGAAAGTCTCGTCACTCCCTAGCAAAAAAGTAATAAGAATAGAAATATTAATGAAGTCATGTCGTACATCCTCCATGCTCTTACCAGAATGAACACAATCATGTGCCTATACCGTTGCAAGCAGGCTTTCTACCAAACTGAAATAGACATTTTGAAATAGAAAATTATATTATGTCGGGGCGACAAGACTTTCGGACCACCCTGTACATTAAAGCCACACAAACACACACACACACACACACACACATACATACATACATTATTGTGTAAGCGAATAAGAAAATGGGAAATCTCTTTAGTGACGCGTTTCGGTATGAGAATGAACTTTTTCAGGCTAATAAAAAAAACGTGTAGCTAAGGAGTTTTTCATATTTATCATTCGTTTACCAATTATTAGCCTGGTAACTGAATAACGTATATTTAGACAGCAAAATCCTTTCGATGTATGTATTGTTGAATACAAACGAATATTAAACACTGCTACATCTTGTTTTTTTTGTTTTGTTTTGTTTTTTTTTTTTTTTTTTTTGCTTTTTTAGTTTTTTTTTTTTTGGGGGTGAACCAAATGCTTTACATTAGATGAAAATCCGTGACTGAACAGCTCATGGCTAAATTGATAGGTAGGGTGGGTCCTAATACTTTCGACTGTTCCATTGATGATCACCAGAGAGGAGGCTTTAAAAGATGTAAGTAAACAGATTATTGATTAAGTCTTTTGAAAAATATTTTTTATTTGTTAACCGGTTAATATTAGAAATTAATATCGTTATTGAAATATAGCGTGACGTGATGTCACGTGGTTGACTTGGGCAGCTAAGATTATAAACTCTTCACTATATATATATATATATATATATATATATATATATATATATATATATATATATATATATATATATATATATATATATATATATATATGGTATTTTTCTCTTTGGCATCATCATTTTGACTAAAAGAAAGACAAAACTATGTGTGAAGAGAATGTCCGGGGATCTCTGATGATAAGTGGGTATTGTAAATCACATTATTTACCTAGCTTATCATGTCCTGACTTGAGACTTGAAGACAATCTACCTCTGTGCTTTATCTATCTGTGTCTGTATTTCGTATTGTATGATTTTAATTCAGAGACTTTTTTATTATTTTTGTATATACATATATACCTACACAAATACATACATATATATATATATATATATATATATATATATATATATATATATATATATATATATATATACACACACACATACACACACATATATATATATATAGTCTTACGCGTTTTTTGATAAAAATCTCACATTATCTCATCATCTTCAATATATATATATATATATATATATATATATATGTATGTATGTATGTATGTATATATGTATGTATGTATATCCGTTCTGTTCGAAAATATTCAATTCTTTTATATTAATTAAAAATAATCTAGGTATGACAATGGTGCTTTATTTTATTTTTTTTTTTCAGTGTACTCCCTTTGGGTCATATTCCAATGCCCCTGACTCATTTGAAAATTGTCTCAAATTTTCTGGCAAGTCTACTTTTCGGGATCGCTAATAGCTACTTCTTCACTTTCTCTTTAATCTCGCCCACGACTTTTCAAGGGCGATTTCATCTTCGTTAAAAGCCAAAGTCACAAGAAGCTAACACAAGACTGTAGTGGGGTAGGTTCCATTCCTCCAAACCAACCATCCTCCAAAAACCTTGAATCAATCTATTCATTCGGTTATTGTGAACCTGATGGTCACACATTACGCA